CCTGCGCCCGCAGTTCGCAACCTGGGCATTCTGCTGCCAAAGTCACCACCGCTGGTTTTGCCGCTCTGCGACGAAGGCCGGTCTTCGAGGCTTTCGTGGTGGCGCTCGTTCTGAACAGTTGGACTGTGGTAAAGCCACACTGTGGTAAAGCCACACTGTATGGACTTCCGACCACGGTACTAAATAAACTGCAATCCGTAATGAACGCTGCTGCTCGACTCGTGCACAATAAGCGAAAATTCAACCATGTGACGCAGAAATTGCGCGATGTTCAGTGGCCGCGTATTCAACAGCGCACACAGTTCAAGGTCGCTTTTCAGACGTTCCGATGCCTTCACGGTCTGGCGCCTTCTTATCTCACGGAAGGTCTGCAGCGCGCGTCGAATCTGCCTTCTAGATGACGATTGCGCTCGTCTTCAACAGCGGACCTCTTCGTACCATCTACACGTCTATCTAGCGTCGGCGGCAGAGCGTTCCCGTTCGCCGCCGCCAGAACAGTCTGCCGGCTTCCTTAACTGCGGCTCCAACGTTGCAGGTGTTTCGATGAGACGGAACTATTTCGTAGAGCCAATGAATCTAGTGTCAAGTTATTTTCTCCGATCCCATCCTTTCTTGTGCCATTTATTTTTCGCTTTCTATTATTCTTATGTGTGACGTGCCCTCGAAATTCGTTTGAACTAGACGATAAAAGCTGCGTAAATAATAAAAATAATTATGCTTGGAACCTCTCTGAATCAGTTATGCTAGGCTCCTTGGGAAGTGTTCTACCCGATGGGATACGGGCAGCTAATCTCAGAGGGGGGCGCAGCCGTAGGCCACAAATTTTACTTTTAAATAAGCACTGGAGGCAACGCCCAGCTTCACCATGCATCAACTTTACTCAGCCTCAGAACTAGAAGCCGCAGACTACGCTTGCACTTCGTAATCCAGACAAGCGACACACTGCCGAAATATAATAGCGCCGTAGGTCTTCAGCCAATGCTAAAGCATGCTCGCTAATAAGCAGGCAGTTCCCCATCCGGCCAAACCTCTTCTGGCTAAGGTGCTTATACACGGGGCTATTAGTTGCGTATATTGGTTGCGTCTACTAGGCCAGGCTACAAAAATTTGTGATGCTTGACGTGTTCAGAGGCAACTAGCTGGTTCATTGCAGGCAAGGCAACTAGAGTTGTTTTGAAGCAGTCTATTGCGCTCAGTAGTCAGTACTTAGTAGCCGCCCGGCCGTTATACCGAGCACAATTGTAGGGCGCGGGAATGCTCCCGAAAAGGAGAAAGGAGGGGGAATGCTCCCTTCCATTGGGATTCCCTTTGCAATGGTTCATTGGGCATTTTCGTCATTCGGCGCGGCCACGTCAGGATAAAGTTGCAACAATCTCCTCAAATTCGTCTGCTCTCGCCGCCTTTTCACTTGTGCTATGGCATCGTTTCCGATGGCTTCGTCGAGGTTTGCCAGTATTTGCCTTAAGTTTTCGCGCCCGGCAGCTAATTGCAATCGTGCAGCATCCAACTCTACCTGGGCAGTCTCATAAACAATATTTTTCGCGGCGACGACACCTGCCAGTTTCTCTATTTCCTCACGCGCTGCTTCCTCCTAAATTCGTAAAGCTCTCCTATGAAGCCTTGCTTGTCGAACTGTTTATGCCATATTGCTGAACTTGAATTGAATTCCGCGAATTATAGGCTTCTGCTATAAAGTTCGAATGCGATTTGATTTCGTTAGAAGTGTCGCTTTTTATGGTCATTCCATGTGTATCATAGGTACCGATCGAACAATTCTGAGATTATGAACAGAAAAAAACGACTGTCAAAAATTAGAATTTATGTTTCCCACTTGATAAAAGGCGTCTTGAAACCTACTAGCAGCTTTTCGGATCTTGACTCGGTATATTTTTATAATATAAATAAAATGAGAACTTAAATACTAAACGGGCGTAATTAAAGTGTTTCATAGCATGCAAAATACCAATAACGAGCGTGACTGGTCTGGGAGCGCAGCCGTGCACCACCAATTTTGTGCACCAATAAGCCCTGAATCGAACGCCTTGGATTTCTCCGGATATCCACCAATCAGCCGTGCATCACTCGGCTATGTCCTCCTCCGGCCTTGACCACCACCTGCCGTGCACCACCAGGCCGCAGTCGAATCTGACTTCCGGGCATTGTTAAATTACGTAATTTTACGTTCACCGCATCTGAGGTTAGGTTTCAGATAGCATAGTTCTGTTCCAAAATTTATCTCCTTCGACAAGTTGCCGTTCGACCGAGGGCTGGTTCGACCCACGGCCTAGATACGGACGGCTTGAAGTGTTGAAGGCTACGTTCCGGAAGGCAGGAATCATGATGGTCCATTACATCCAGGGCAGTGGTGGTCTTCGGCAGGCGAGTGAGGCGACCCACTGGTCTCGAGATGTTCTTTGATGGTTGGCCTCAATTGCTGGCAAGTGCCGTTCTTTCCTGGCTTAGGCTGGCTGAATAATTTCTGATTTCATCACTGCACTTTTTTGCCCTTATATAGTCAAATGGGGTAAGACAGGATCGCAGCCTTCATGGGGTAAGAAAGGACCAGCCCCTGGCATGCATTCTAATTGCACTGAATTTAATTTGACAAAAGAATATGTTAGAGCAATCATTGCCTGTCATTTCAGTGCTTGTTTCAACCCTCTTCTGCAAATAATGAATTTCTGGCTAATTTTTAAAGAAAACCTATGTAAAGAAGGGTCACAAAATAGTTAACCTTGTTTGGGAAATAAGCTCTGTCTAATGACAAAAAATTTTTTGGCCAGGTTTGTGGATGTAGGCAGGTAACCTCAAGTAATAAGCAACTTCTGAGACATACTAGGCATTCCTACCTGCTACCATCACTGCCTGACAACTATTCTAAAATGGGGTAAAAAAGGACCGGACATGGGGTAAGATGGGACCACTAAATGATCCTGTTTTACCCACAAGTGGTCCTATCTTACCCCACAAATGGTCCTGTCTTACCCCACAAATGGTCCTCTTTTACCCCATAGTTTATCAAAAATAGCTTTTAAATGAATATATTATTGTGCATAAGTATACATGGAGTATTTTGGTCAAAATTTTCATCTTTTGCTTAAAATAACTATTCTAACTTGTTAGCTTTTTAAATTAGATAAATTTAGCATACTATTGTGAATTGCATCATGGGGATGGAGAAAATAGGGATGTCTCTTCCCATTAGTGAGCTGCAGAACAATGTGCAAGAGTGGTTGAGCCTTTGAGGGAAAAATCATTGTGTGAAACATAAAAAATAATTATTATCACAATTTTGTGAGAGGGCATGGGCTATGTTTGAAGAAGTGCACCACAAATGCAGTTAGCAAGAAAACGCATGACATCCGACTTAAGTTATTATCCATTGGTTTTATTACAAATTTGATAAATTTTCAGACAATGACACTAATGGAATATACATGTAGCATTTGGCAGTGCTCTACAATGAATCAAAGCCAACCTACCATTTCTATGCTTAACAAAGTTTTCTCGTGACAAAAACTCCAATGTGACTGATATTAAAGTTGACTTCCTGCAACACAAAACAGTAACAAGTGGTTGTTTAATCAAATAATGTGTTTACAGATGGATAATATTGAATATCAGAGTTATATTTTTACTAAAAACCTTGTAACATAAGAATTACCTGTTGGTCCTTTCTTACCCCAGCCTGGTCCTTTCTTTTTTTAATCTGTACTGAAAACTGTTTTGTATGCAAAAAGTCTGAGTTGTAGCTTTGAAGCCCATTGCATAACCACACCTTGTGATAAGTTTAGGATTTTTAGTTATTCATGGTATAGATGCTACATGCCTGTTAATGATTTCGGTCCTGTCTTACCCCATCTGACTATACGGTATTTTTTTTCAATTAGCGTTATTTTACTCTTCGAATTCTTTTATCATAACAATATGTACTTTTCGCGGGATGATAGCATCCTGAGAAAATGTTGAATTGTGCATTTCAACCTTCATGTATCAAATTGTATTTGTTGAATCAAATTTCAACTTCAATCCTCTTGTTCCTCGTCTGTTTGAGTAAATTTTTAATTGTAAAAATCAGCATTGAGTGTTGCTGGCTTACTGCTCCAAAAATACTAGTCATGTCCCATGCATATAATAAATTTTTATTTTTATGTGGCATGTAATCAGGTAAGAGGAAACAGCAGAGCTGTGCAGGGTCCTGAGGATAGTGGGGTAGGTGTCGGGGCTTGGGCCTTGGGGGGGAAGGATCCCTCCTCCAGCAGGTGAGAGACTGAAGGGAGGAAGTGAGTCTGAAAAGTGTGCTTCATGGGACGGGGCCCTGATGTCTGGGTGACGATAGGGTAGCTGGGATGGTGCGGTCATAGGGTGCTGGCAAGGTACTGTGACTGTGAGCAGAGCAGAGGTGTTCAGCCACGGCCCTCGGGTAAGACCTGAGCTTTGCTGTGCAGATGGGAAGCGGAGGCCATTTGGAGAGATCCTGTGGCTATGCGGAGGGCTGAGTTCTGAATAGTTTGCAGCTTAGAGATTTACAGAGAGGCATTGGGGAACCACGCTGTGGCAGCGTAGGTGAAGAGGGACTTAATAAGGGCCTTGAAAGTCACCAAAAGGGTTTCCTTCTGCTGGCCCCAGCTGGTTCCGGCAAGAGACTTGAGGATGTTGAGGCGCGGGCAGGCTCTCTGACATATCACAGCGATATGTGGTGAGGAGGTGAAGTGGGGGTCAAAAGTGACCCCGAGGAACTTTAGGGTCTGACAAAGTGGAAGGTCTGACCTCTCCTAGCTGACATGAGGGTCTGTTTGTGATTGATGGGCATCAGTGGTGAAGAGGGTGGTGTGGGATTTGGGAATGGATACCGATAACCCCTTCCGACAAGCTCACGCAGCCACGTCGGAAGCGTGGGAGGAGAGGACTGCAGACGCGTCAGCTATCTGAATGGCCCCCGCAGCAGCAGTGACGTCCGCATATGAGGCCATTAGGGGGCGGACTGGGACTGGGAGAAGTCAGAAGTCTGAAACATAGGAATTGAAGAGAACGGGCGAGATGACGGATCCCTGTGGGACTCCAGCGTGGACCGGGAGTGGAGAAGAGATGCTGTTGTAGGAGCACCTGGCTGACTGGCCTCTGATGTTGCAGATCAGCCAGCGGGTGATATTGGCGTGGAGGGGAGTGATGGTGATGTGAGAGATGAGCTGAGCATGAGACACGGTGTCAAAAGCCTTGCTGAAGTATATTGCCATTGCTATTGTCCTGGTTGGTGGGCGAGGCTGGTTGAAGCCTGTAGCTATGGCCTGGGTTAGTGGAAGCAGGGCAGATGTTGTGGAGTGGAGAGGGCAGAAGCCATGCTGGGAGTCCACCAGTGGAAGCACTGCATTGACACGTTGACTACAATTGCTTCATCTTGTACTATTATTTCATTTTTTGTACTGTTTTCAAACAGGGTTGCCAGATGGTAATTAAATCCTGACAAATTCCGTGATTTAGTTTTTCTCAATTGTATTGGCCCGCTAAAATTTATGATAGGGGTACTTCCTAATTAAATTTTAATTACTGGAAAAAGAAAATAAATGGAATTTTTATAGTGGAACCTACAAATAAACTAGTATATATTGGGTTTTTGGCCTTTTTTGTTCTCGGATTTGGCCGATTTTAGGCAACCTGAATTATGCACCACTTCGCCCTGGAGAAATACATTTCGTGGTATGCATATGTACCACTTTGGAGTCATCGTGTTAAGGGACGGGAGGAGCAGATGCTCCAACATCTTCACAGACAGGCACAGGAGGGAAATGGGCTGGTATGAGGCGCTGATAGACAGGGGTTTGCCTAGCTTTGGAATGGCGATGATTGTTGCTGACCTCCAGATGGCAGGGATGTCGGCCTTAGCGAGGGGAAGATTGTAAAGTTAGGCAAGGTACTGGATGTCTCTGGGTCCCAGGTGATGGAGGTGGAGGATAGTGACGGAGTCTGGGCCAGTGGCAGTAGAGGTACCCGAGCTCCATATCGCCTGTCTGGTCTGATCCGGAGTGAATACAGGGGGTGTGTTTGAGAGGGGATTACGGTGCTTGATGCCTCTGTACTGTAGGTGGACCTGCAGGAATGGTCACGCTGTTAGTGAGGAAACAGCGTGAATTGGCTGCAAAAGGATGAGGCTATGATATGGTTTGTGGTGACATGAGAATTATTGAAGGAAATGGGTTGGTTAGGGGGCTTGTCTGGTTGACCTGCCAGAGGAGTGTAGGAGCAACCAAAATTTAGATGGATTTCTCTGCAGGTTGGATGACTGGACCTTCTTGATCTTGGTTGTGCGGGAGTGTGTGGTGATGGCTGCTGAGATGTTGTTGTTGAGGTCTGGGAGGCTGGGGTGGTTGGGGTTCAAGGCACGGGTCCTGTCGCGCTCTTGAATGAGAGGAATGGCTGATGGTGGAAGATTGGAAATGAAATCCCTTCTACATCTGCGAGGGATATGTCGGCGGGCCGCCAAAGTACAAACCCTCCTGAAGAAGACCTCTCCTTGGGAGCATGAGGAAGGGGGAGCAGCAGTGCTAAAAGCGGCCTCTGTTTCAGAAGCATAACCGTCCAAATCTGCACGACAGAGGTTGATATAGGTGTGGAAAGGATGGTTATTGGGAGAGTTCATGGAGTCCAGGGAGATGGATATGGGAAGGTGGTCAGAGTTGAGGTGGGCCAGTGGGGTCCAGACAGCGTCTAGGGCCAGATGGGGACTTATGAGGGTGAGGTCAGGAGATGATGGGGCTCCTTGTGATGGAAGCCTGGTGGGGATGTCTTGATTGAGTAGGACTAACTGGCTTGAATCTATTTGGTTGAGTAGGGCTGCGCCTCGGGCAGCCATGCGGTCATCCTGAGTGGCGGAGAACCACGCTGGATTGTGAGCATTGAAGTCCCCCATAATAATGGTATTATGGGCATCCAGCTTGAATAGTGTGGTCAAGGAGGGCATGAAACCAGGGGGCAGGAGGTGGGCGGAGGGATATAGATGTTATACAGGTGAAGTTGTACACCATCTATAGAGTTGGAGATTCCCTGGTGTTCTGTTGTTGCATTGCCAGGGAACAGGTAGTCTGATGGGATCGGGGAGTACGAGACGGTACGCCTCACAATAAAACAGAGACTGCCACCACAATGGGTCTGTCGCAGCGGACCAGGGTGTAACCAGGGAAGGATGGGGGGTTTGAGGCCTCAGTGAGCTTGCTTTCCTGTATGGCTGCGATAAGGATGGAGTGGGAGATCAAGAAGTGGGCCAGCTCTACTGCGCAGTGCCGCAGGCCATTGCAGTAGAACTGGAGGAAGTGGATGAGGGCAAGTGTAGGTCTGTGGGCTAAGAAAGGATCGTCCAGCAACCCAGGAAGAGGGGGAGTGGGGGGAAAGGGGGGGAAGGCGGAGTGGGGGAGGCAGGGGTTGCATTGCACCCAGGGCAGGTACAGGTGTGGTAATACTGGGACGCATTGCTGAGCCCAGAGCTCCGTTTGTGGACCCAAAGGCTGCAGTGGTAACACCGGAAGGAAGTTCTCCTCCTGGTGACAGGGCACCCACAGATGCCACAAGAGTTAGAGATGTCAGGGCTGGGGTGAGGGTGTATACCCGCCATCAAGAGAAGGAGGGTGATAGTGACTTGGTCAGGTGGACGAGCTGCAGCCAGGTTAGGAGAGGCGATGGGTGGAAGCGAGGCCCCACAGGGGGGCACCGCCAAGCTGAAAAACGGCTCTCAGCAGGTCTGGGAGTTGTGTCAGTGTTTGGCCCAGTGGGAGCGACAGGTCGTCCCGGAGGGGTCCATCCACCATAAAGAGGTCCAGACGTTGGATGGGCGTCAGTTGCTGATCACTACTACTCAGGCCATGGGTGTGCATCATCTAACTGTTCAGATACTTCTTGGAAGAGGCAACTTCTGCAGAAAGATTCGACATGCAATAATAAGAGCAACAATCACCTATTTAACGCAAACAAATTGTCTGACTTCCCTGTAGTGCATGAGCACCATCCTGGAAATAGCTGTGATCCAAACTGGAAGCCCACTCAATATATCCTCCAAGGATCATTGACACATAATGCTGTAACTTTCTGCTGAGTCCAGGTGTAACAAGTGGTCATTGTTTGCCAACTTCCTTACCTTCAAGCCAGCCACAACAACACAACGGAAAGGAGTATGAAAGATATGCTGGTCTTGGGCAATGCTAGCCTCTGGCATGCATCCCGCCCTCACCTAGGGCTCCCGGTTTGTTATCATTAGCCCTTAGTCCCCTTACCAACATTTGATCCTGTCTCCCCTTGGCTTGGATTTGTGTGGCTCATCTTATTTGTATTGATTTCCACTTTGTCTCTGGTTTAACTGACTCAACTGCTTTTTCTGCTTGTGTTAGGAAACATTATCCTATTTTCTGCTTGTGTTAGGGAACATTATCCTGTTTTCTGCTTGTGTTAGGGAACATTATCCTGGACCTGGCCCCCTGGCCCTGGGTGTCTGTACTAGGCAATAGTAGGCATTAGGCAATCTACTGTACTGTGTCTAACTGTGATGGGTCACGATTAACAGACAATCCATATACAGCATGTGATTTATACATGCCGTCACAAGCAAGAGCAGTTGCATGGAGGCTTAATCCCAGGCATGGCATCCTGTCGGGCAGTGTCGGCTTAATTTATTGCTATATTACATGCTTTGAAGCTTGTTGTTAGTGAAGCATGAAGCATCCCTATACTGGGTTATTTTCTCAGACTCACTTGTGAAGTTGTGGCCTTGCAGCTCATTCTCTCCTCTCCTCAAGCCCAACAGACACATCTTGCGATCTTGTGCATCAAATTTGTCTGCAGCTCTTTGGAGGCTTCAGGCTTGGCCTGAATGAGAGGAAAACTGCATGCCTACAGTGGGTTAAGGCTCATGCTGACATTGTTGGGAACAAGTGAGCTGATGCTGTTGCAAAGATGGGTCTTACTCATGACCATTCTGCTTTGTTTTGTCTTACTCATGACCATTCTGCGTTGTTCTGACACACTGGCTTTGCTTTGTTCTTGCTTTCTTAGGAACTGGACTCAGTGGACTGGATTGCTGCTTTGGCTGTTGAAAAGGGATGGGCCTGTGGGGTCCTCTATGTGGGCCTGTGGGGTCCCCTATTGCATCATTGCATGGGTTGTCAGTTGCTCTCATTGTGCTGCTCATCTACTGCTGCTCTGGTGCTTACTCATCTTCGATTGCATCATGTTGGTATTCAGTCATACCTTCATTGATTTGGCATGACTTACACTCCCATGTGCTTGCATTGTGGAGTGAATCACCATGGATGATACCGTGGAGCATTTTCTCCTGGCATGCACGCTGGCGGCTGTTCCACCTGGAGCGTCAGGTGCTGATCGCTACCACTCATGGCACTCAAGTCATAGGTGTGCACTGTGCACCATCTAACTGTTTGGGTACTTCTTGGAGGAGGTAACTTCTGCAGAAAGATTCAACATGCAATAATAAGAGCAAGTGAGCAACAATCACCTATTTAACACAAACAAATCATCTGACTTCCCTGTAGTGCATAAGCACCATCCTGGTTTTAGCTGTGATCAAACACCGGAAGCCCACCTGATAGAATCTCCAAGGATCATTGACACATAACATTGGAACTTTCTGCCAAGTCCTGGTGTAACCAGGAGCCACTTCAAGCCAGCCACAACAACAACAGACATGCAACAAGGATAATTCTAGGCTTGATTAGATCAAGTCCTATGAAGAAAGATTATGAAGCTTCCAAGCCTCTGTTATCAAAGACTGCATGGGGATTTAATTGAAGCATACAAGTGTACTCATGGTTTATGCAAGGTCCCAGAAGGATTACTAGAATTTGAAACAAAAACCAACATGGCTATGAACTAAAACAACTGCACTGCAACTCGTCCACTGGACAACATTTCTTCTCATTTTCTGACTTGTGGAACAGCTTCTCGGATTACATCGTTCGTGATCGTTGATGCTCCGAGGATGAATGCATTCAAGAACAGACTAGATAAAGCTATGGAAAAATATGACTTGAAATGCCTAGCACCATATCAAACCTGGTGGAAGTCAAGTAGCTATTTCAAGCTAGTGTTAGTTTGGAAAAGATCCGGTCAAAGGACGTGTTTCTAGATCTCCTGTGGACAAGCCACGAAAAGTACAAGAATTGGCGACAGGCTACATCAAGCCTACTCTTCAGCTCCGACATCACACTATGTTATGTTATGTTATGTAGTCTTGGCTGATCATTAGAAATAATGAAATTATCCATCCAGGTCTATGTAGCTAACATTTTTTTGTACTTTTTTGAATTCTGTGAGTATGCAACTAATTAAAAATTTGGCATGATTAGCATCTGCCTTGGCTATTTTTATATTAGTCTTCAGTTTTCATTATCAAAATGAAAATTTCTGAAAGATAATTTTTTACTAAGTGAGCTTCATAGGCTTGGCCTTGCCACTTGTTGTCACTAAAAAGTCAAATTTTCAAAACCTTAAACAAATTAATACATTTCTAGTCAGAATTATGATTTGTAGGGTTTTATTGTATTGTGTCATTGTGATATACATTAGCTAAGAAGCTATTTCTTCTCATTACTAACTAGTCAACATAGTGGTAAACCTGAGATTTTTTAGAATCAATTCATTTTTAATTTCCTAATTTACTCAGTCATGAGTAATATGCATGGTGGCATATATGGAGCAGCCTCTCTGATGAGTGATGACATTGTTGATGCTTCAAGCCTCCAATTATGAATGCGTTCAATAGTAAACTAGACAATGCTATGCAAAATTACATGTTCAGTTTTGAAATACTTTTCACTAGCACCCTACAGAACTCTTAAATGTCCAATGTCAGTTAGAAAGATCTTGTCAAAAGGCCAGTTTTTAGATCTGTCAATAAGTCATGAAAAGCATGAATTAGCAACTAGCCTAACCAGGCCCATTCTTCCTGCCAAAGATGCTATGCTATATCAGTCAATATTTTAGTATAATAATGCTGGTATCCAAGAGATATTGGTCTACTAACTCTACTTACATGACCTAAAAATAAACTATGCTGAAGAAGGGCAACAAAAATGTTATCCTTTGTCATCACTCATTGATTTCGCTAGTACCTATACAAATTATGGCTTAGTTTGGTCAACAAAATAGATTGTTTCTTTTGAAGGCTGGTGACAATAATGCTGTGGGCTGTGGCAAAGTTTGTGGCAATGGAGTATTGAAGTGAGCGCAATCAAATCAGCTTTATTGCAGTATGTAATGTGTTATAATCTAACTTTACAAATTATAGTTAAGAACTTCTGACTAGTGATAAAGTATTTAATCTTGTAGGTTTAGTAACAACAGTCAAGCAGAAAGCCAAGCTAAGTCACACTCACAGACAAAGAAAACTGCAGTATCTGCTGAGTAGCAAGTGGCAACTAATGTGTAATTGATGGTAATTTTTTAGTTAGTGGCTTTTAATTTGTGTTATTTTAAGTAATTAAATACTTGAAGAAAATCATTCCTTCAATTTCCTGCTTAGCAGCTGCAGTGGTGCAGGACTCTGCCACCCAGCCATGTGATCATCCTAACATACTCTTCATCATTGTGGATGACTTGAGGCCATCTGTTGGCTGCTATGGCGATAGCTTGGCCATCACTCCCAGCATTGATGCACTTGCTGGAGCTGGAGTCACTTTTGATTTAGCTTTTGCTCAGGTAAGCACAAACTAAATTTTAAAAGAGCTTGACTGATAAGTAAGGCAGTTGAAAAAACTCTAATATTGATAATTTAGCCATGAATTTAGTTAATGCATAGTTATAGAGAATTTTTAACTTCCAATCACATCAGTCTTGTGGTCCACTCTGCTTGGATTAAGTGCAGTTCAAAAATGTTGATGACTTCAGCTGCCTTTAATATTTACCTTCCACAATGTTGAGCAAATCTCTCCAGTGGTGGTCTGTGCTATTTTACTTGATTCCATCGATAAAAATTAATTTGGGACATTTCAACGTAATTCTATAATCCATTCTCATCTAATCCCACTCCTAATAAAAGTCAATGCAATGTAGATCCAAACTGAAAATATCAACTGAAACCAGCCAAGAATGATCTAAAAGTTCTCATTGCCCATAGCCGTGGACAACTGCACTCTAGCCCATAACTCCAGGGAGACTTGTCATAAAATTTTAGATGAAAGGTCTCATTTTCACAAGTTTGGAGAAATTTGATTATTCACCTGAGATTAGATCCAAACAAGTGACTTATTTATTTAATTTATCACCGTTTCATAGTTTTTTTTCCAGGTCCAGCCATTAATCAAGGTGTTTCAGATAATGCAATCAATTAAGTTTGACTTGAAACTAGTTGAATGTTTGAAATAGGGCTACATGTATTTTCAGATGTTTTTATGTCTAATAACACCTATCTTCATTATCCCCCCCGTGCCATCTCGCCCTTGTCGTGGGGGGGGGGCTTGCGTGTCTCGATGAGACCCGAGGCTGTGCGGACCTATTTTAACCGGGATGTCTCGTCTCGTCTCGGTATCGTCCCGGAATTCCTACGGAGAGCTGAAAATTGTCCCGGTTTTTATTTCGAACCGGGACAGAGCCTGTTGTCTCGTCTCGTCTCGGAATAAACAAAATGCCAAACGCAGGAGTCTAGACTCAGCTGTGCCCTCAACCTAATAGATCAACTGCCCGGAGACGACTTTACAATATTTGTAGACTCCAAAAGTGTGGTGCAGGCTTTGAGAGCTTATAATAGTAGGCACCCCATCGTCTGGGAGATCCTAACCGGGCTGGTGCGCCTGGCGGGGGCGGGGAGAGCGGTGAGCGTCTGCTGGGTGCCCGGACACGTGGGATAGAACTGACAACCTTAGACAATACCTAATCGAGTGTAACCTGCTGCCAGATATCTAGCACGGCACCTTGACAGAGGTCAGAAAAGACCCACATATCCGACAAGACGTCATATTCGTGTCATCATGTTACTGGTTGAGATGAAATAGCAGAAGACGGATAGAGCCTGCGCCTTAGAAATAAAGAAGTATACACCCTAGACCAGATGGATCAGGCTACGAGCCTGAAACCAACGAAGAAGCCTGCCGACCCTGCAAAACGAATATTGGACCTTCGGCGCGAAATAGACGACATTGATCTGAAGCGCTAGAAACCTCTCCCTACTACTACTACTACTATCTTCATTATTTTTCCTGAATAAGCTGAAGAAAATTCACTGTAATTTTTATGTTTTGCTGTCTCACTGTAACTCTTGTTCCTTAAGTGTTAGTGGATAATACATTGCCCATTTATAGGTTAATAACTCTATGTATGATGTGTTTAGCTTTAATTTACTTTTATATTTTCAGCAAGCTTTGTGTGGTCCGAGTCGCACGTCTCTACTTACATCCCGTCGTCCCGACACCACTGGTGTTGTTGATGCTCATCACTACTGGCGAGACACGCACAACTTCACGACCCTGCCACAGCACTTCAAGCAACACGGATACTACACGGCCTCGGCCGGCAAAGTGTTTCATCCTGGTTTGTATTTCCTTAGTGGGAACGTCAGTATGCTTTTATGGCCTCATTGAAGTGAAGGAAGAATGTGCAGTAAAAACAGAAAAATTGTTGCCCTTTTTTCTTTTGTATTATTATTATTGTGTATTTCCTTTCCCAATGTAAAATTTTAAAATTTATATATTAACATACATGACTTAGTTGAACTTGTTACTATAGACTATCATAGGTTATACCTATATAAGACACTTTAAGTGGAATTTAAGCCACAGAACAATTGATTTGTTGTGCAAAATAGCTGCAGTTCAACAATGTTCACTGAAAATTTTATCCATTCACGAGCATGATACCCTGCATCACGAGCATGATACCCTGCATTCACGAGCATGATACCCTGCATCACGAGCATGATTCAAAGCACATGTAATTACTCATTCATAATATGGGCTTTGGCCGTACTCACGTGAATTCGCTATCTTTATTTAAGATGCCCTCACTGCCGCATCTGTCTAATATCTTTCTTAAATATATTTTGTCATTGAATATTATTAGGTACAATCGTTATTTTTTCATTCTATTATAAATCAAAATCACCAGTTATTAATATTTCATGATTGTTACAGTTACATTGCTAGGTCACATCTATCTGTACTTATTTCCTGACCGAAAGCTTTGGTTGGTCATATCGCAGCTGCAGCTTGAAGCAATAAATCATGCAATCTTTGTGTACACAACTTATTAAATTACCTTCATGCCTTACCAGTTGTAAAATATAACTTCCTTACCACAAAGCACTGATTTGTCAGGTCTATCTGTAGTTATTTTTTTTAGACCCGAAGCATTGTGTGATCAGGTCTATCTGTATTTATATTTTGACGGTTTATATTAATTTTGTATGAATATTTATACTTATTTTAATCATTGGTTGGTCAGGTCGCTGCAGCAATTACAGCGATGACGCGCCCTACAGCTGGAGTGCTGTGCCGTACCATCCTAGCAGTGAGCAGTACAAGAACTTCCCTGCATGTGGTCCTCACAAGAACATGACCAATATTGTTTGTCCTGTGCTGGTAAATTATTGTCCCTTATGTTTTGTTAGCTGTTTTGAAATATTTTCTACTAATAATAACTATAATTGCTAAGTACATTGATCTATCTTCTTCACTATTCTTGCTAATTTATGTTTTTGATGATTCATCATTACATCTTGAACTGTAGAAATTTATCCCTGAAATACTTACACAATTCATTTGATGAAATAATGCATATAATTCATAGAGTGAAGTAGCCAATTTGTCTGAATCACTGCTCGAAAGTTAATAAATAACCGCACATTATCGGTATGTTCTCATTCTTATCCATTGTGCTCGAGATGCATTGAAACATTACTGTATTAATGGATGGAATCTAATTAAAGTATTTGTTAACCGAACTAAATTCCTTAATTTTTATCATGTGCAACTTCCTTATTTAGTTTAGTTCTTTAATCAACCGTTCTTTTTGGTTCTTGAGGCACTTTCATCAACATTATCCCCCCAAAGTACGCCTGCCACTGACATCTTTAATTATTCTTCAGGTGCGTGATCAGCCGGAAAGCACATTACCTGATCTCCAGACGACGCACTACGCCATCTCTTTCTTGCAGCATTGGAAAAATGTCCAAAATGGAGGACAACTAAACGAGAATTTAATGCCCACTGACTATCATTTTTGGCGTAAAAATTATCGTGTACGGCGTCAGAAAGGTTTCATGAAAGATAATAAGGAAAGTGTTTCTCTTACGAATACAAGGTACCTAAAAAGAACTACAGAATATGATCTTTTCAATATTGACGGTAAAAAGGAAATGACGCGACGAGCATTTCAGCGTCAGAAGACGAAATGTACGAGACAGACAGACCAAACAAGAAGGAAATTCCTGTCTTCTAAAAATGAGAGTCATGGTGGTTGTCAGCCATTTTTCCTGGCGGTTGGATACCACAAGCCACATATTCCTCTGAAGTTTCCGCGAAGGTTCCTAGGTTAGTTGCCTCGCGTCACAGAAACTAGAGGCGTGTTTAAAAATTAAGATACTTTGTACAAATAGCGATGCAATTTTTGCCTTGTGTGTTCATCATCCTGACCCAGTTTTGCCCTGCAAAAGGACCTATCAGGGCTACGTGCAAAAAGTGTCACTATTTGGATAGTGTGACCCTTTATGTTTCTAAGTGTACCTCTTATTTACTTTGTACTCACTTTTCAGTACCTAGTTCAGAGTGCAAAGTTGCTATGAAACCTGTTGCGTTTCATACCAGCGCTAAATCTGCCTAATTAAATTTTATTATTTATAAAAACTTGTCAATATTTTTTAGTGGAAATCAAATAATGTAGCAATGGGATCAATTAATTTGCCTACGTTTGCCGGCGTCTTACGAGGTTTCTCGACGTAAAAAACAGACATATGACGTCATAGTTTTTTTTCCACTAGTGCAGTTGTGAAATTTGAATTAATTGATGTACTTTATTTTGCCTCTGGATGATGGGGTGCCCTGTGTTTCCGCACCACAAAGTGGGAATAATATTTGTTGCTTGTAATATTTATGTATTCTTTTACTTGATAAATCTACTCTATAGATGAAATTGGGAAGAAAAAGCCATAGTTTTAATAAGTAAAAATCGACGTAGTTACTATAAATAGAAAAAGAATAGTGTTCAATAGTGTATTTTTAACGAGTCGATAGTCTGGCATATAAATTTTCAATAAATAGAAGTCAATCCCAACATTTTTTGCCCAGTTAGTATAGTTTGGTAAAAATTTTTTGAAGGATATCTAAAAGTTCATGTCTATTGTCACCAGAATTATTTCCGCTGCCTGAGGTGCCGCTCCCTCCTGACGACCGCCTACCCCCAGGCCTGCCCTCGGTTGCGTACAACCCCTGGAACGACCTACGCTGGCGAGACGACGTAGCCGCTCTCAATCTCAGCTTCCCATACCAACCCATGCCTGATGATTACTCCAGGTCCGATATCCCTGCTCTCAATCTCAGCTTCCCATACCAACCCATGCCTGATGATTACTCCAGGTCCGATATCCCTGCTCTCTATCTCAGCTTCCCATACCAACCCATGCCTGATGATTACTCCAGGTCCGATATCCCTGCTCTCAATCTCAGCTTCCCATACCAACCCATGCCTGATAATTACTCCAGGTCCGAGCAATTGCCAAAAACGAAAGACAGTTTTATTTAGTATATTATTTTTATGTTTTTTTTTTAATATGACACCACAAAGAATTTCTTACAATATGTTCTGGCAGTACTACACACACTATGCATTAAACTTTCTCCCATATATAATTCTACAGCTCTAGGTATTGGTTTGCACGTTTGTCAGTTTAAACAGCATGCGGCTCTGGACTGATTGGATGTGGCAATAAGCGTTCTCACAAGACATGATGATTAATATCGATTTCTTAGCTAATTCTTTTCATTATCGATTTCAGTAAATAGTTGTCTAAATGAATTGATTTTCTTCTAGACAATCAGGTTTGGGTAATGTTGAATGTTTTGTCAATAAAAAAGTTTTGTGCAGGTTGATACGTCAGGCTTACTATGCGGCTACAGCATACACTGACTCCCTCATCGAGAACCTTCTCTCTGCTACCAGCCTTCTTCATCCACACACTTTGGTGGTGCTTATGGGGGACCACGGTGGGTGCGATAAAGCTTATCGTATTCTCATACTTCAATAATTTCTGTCATGTATTATTAGGGGCCGTACTATCAAAATTCTGGGAAAAATACTATAAAAAAAGGCCAAAAGGCGTTCAAGTAACCGTAGAAGCCTAGGTACATCTAGCGGCTGATTTCTCGACCATGATGGGTAGGTTTACCTTGAAAAGAAGTTGTTATTGGCTACGAGGGTACAAACTTTTAAATAATTTCGATGGTACGACCCTAGGTTAAGTGCTCAAAAGCCCGTGTCCCCTATACTTTGATGGCGCTCATGGGTGACGCTGTAGATTTACAAAAGCTGCCTACATCCCAACTGTTCGTTGGTGTTCATGACTCATGAGTGATTTCTTGCAGTCCATGTACGATTACTGTTCCCTATGCTCTCTCTCGGTTTTGTATTGGATTCGCGTGAGTCAGTTCCATCATCATCTCGAGTAGGGCTCTTGTTTGATCTCATTCCGTACTTGAGTAAATAAAACCTCATTTATTTTTCGGTACACCAAAGAGCAATGAATGGTATCCCTCTGAATATTATTATGTGAATAAAGGTTTAATGAGATTATAAAAATAATTTATTTAGATGAGCTCTTATTTGTGTCACCTGCTGGCCAAAGTGAGTTTAATAATTAATTGAATTAATTAATTAATTATATTGCAGGCTGGTCCTTGGGTGAGCATCAAGAGTGGTCGAAGTTCAGTAACTATGAAGTAGCAACAAGAGTACCGCTGGTCATGGCGCCGATATCTCGGTACGCGCAAGCCAAACACTCGCTCATGACCGACCAACGCAACCCCAAGTATAACAGGTACAAAACGTATCGCAAACTCGGCGAGAAACTTCTCAGTCGTCTGCACAAATGGCCTGGAAGTGTGAGGGTCAATTACGAACAATATTGGAAAGACAAAAACGGGGACGAAGTTAAGATGCATTCAAGAAGCTTCAATTTTTATGGATGGCTTAAGAAGCACATGCTTCATGATTTTCGTAAATTATCGGGAGTTGAACAAAGCAGAAATTTCCACGGAGATGTCAAATCTACTCTGGATGTAAAGTCTGTCGTTGATAAGGGACGAAAAATTTGGCTAAATTTAAAAGAAAACTATACCTACACTGGGTTAGTTGAACTCGTCGATGTCTTCCCTACGCTGGCAGATTTGGCTGGCATTTCTAAAGTTCCTCCTTGTTCCTTTGATTGGATGACTTCTAGATTCAATGAAGATTATATTCGTTCTCGTAACAATAAATACTGCAATGGTTCTTGTGTCTGTGACCGAATCAATTTCAAAAATGTTTCGATTGATGTTAAACATGCAAACTGTTCGGAATGTTGCCATGTGCGGGATAAAACTAGCAACCTACGTCTCAGTCATGCAAGATCAATAATCCAACAAAAACTGTTGGTCAAGTTTTATAAAGCCATGAACCGGCACCACAAACTACCATTTCCTTTTTATAATTCTTCCCTGCCTGACAATAATTATTTTGCTCAAACAGACAAAACTAATTTTTACCTCATAGCCTCGAAATTCATGAGATCATCTTCTCTTAACTGGAAATTTCCACATTCTACTGCGAAGACGTGTACCGAGGGCAGAAGTGTGGCGCCGTATATTGTTGACGAGGCTGATGCTCAAGAAAGCGAGGATGTAAGGCTAAATAGACAGAGAAATTCGAAGATAAAACTCGCAGCGTCTGACGTCAGCGCGATACGACCAGTTTCGCGCGTTGTCGGTAAGTATTTTTAGATTTATAATTTAGTTACTGAACGATCTAGATTTTTATGCTAAAGTAATTACCATCATCCTTCTGACATTTTCTTTACTCATTTGTACGCAAGTGATTTGATTCTCGCTTCTAACCTTAACAACAAACTTAGGAAATGCAGGTAATATTCCGTTGAAGTTAACTGCCGTTTCTTGTTGATGCCGGTGCTCAAACGAATTGACACTTTTAAAAATAATTTAAAGATATAAAATCGGGGCCTGAAATCGTCACTTCATGCAATGTGATTAGTAAATTTTCCGATAAATTAAGTTCTAAACTTTTCTCCGGTATGCAGATTTAGGCCGGTGCCTAAAAGATATGTTGCAAGGAAAGCTTGCCATCTCCCAGTACCCCCGACCTAGTCTCTCGCCATCACAACATCCCGACTCCGACCAGCCCAAGCTTAAAGGTAACTTCTACCAGGGCTTGTTAGTAACTTCCCTACATTTACGTTTAGTTGAGTTGTTCAGAAATCACAATTGAGTTTTACTCGCTGCTGTTACACCACTCCTACTGAGTAGTGTCGTTTCTCAATTTTATTTCAGTAATTACTTAATGAATGATCGAAACTGGTACTTCAATCTATGAATGGTTACACTTAATTTTTCTCTCATTGCACTCGTGTTTTTTTTAGAAATCAAAGTGATGGGTTACTCGATGCGGTCACACTGCTTCCGCTACACGCTGTGGGTTGCCTACAACTGCACCACACAAGTACCAGATTTTGACGATATCGCTGGAGAAGAACTTTACGACCATCGGTTTGATCCCAGAGAAGATCACAACATTCTTCGCTTAATCTAATCCTCACACATCCATAGCCTCGGCGATCTCCAGGTCCAAAGATGATGTAGTTGTATTTTTTTAGCAGAAGTGGCGTGGATGATAATGAACTTTTTACTTTTTTTTGTTATTGCAACGTAGAATTATTATTACCCCAGGAGACTTTTAGCAATTAATCGAAATCGCGACGTTGCATAACGCGAAATTATTTTTTCCCATCTATTTTTAATTATCCTGCAGTGTTATTGGTTGTGGTAAGAAATAGCTGGTTTTGGATATTTTTATTTGTAAAATCACACTCCCAAGAAAAAAAATCAATGACGACTTTTCTTGAATATACGAGGAGCGGAAAATAAATACGGAAAGCAGGCAGCAGCACAACAATTTCTAAAAGACTATGCTTTTTGTTATTCGTAATTTTCATAGATTTTTTTAATAACTTAAAATTTGTTTACAGAAGGTTGAATGTGGTTTCAAAAAGTTATAAGATAATATCAGTTGCAGTTTCAAGTTTTCTCTGTATAAAACTGAATTATTGATTCTTCAAAAGTATCGGGTGGGATTATAATGCAGAAGTTAATAAAAATTGTGCACAGCAAATGGATTGTCAAAATTTTTATTTTTAAGCCAGCCCAGCTATCCATGGTGCATTCACACTTGAAATCGAGGTGAATCGACGTTATCTTTTTAAGCTAGCAAATGAAGTTGCTCAATTCAAAATTCCATAATAATTCACTTAGAATTAGATTAGTTCCTAAATTAGAGTTAACTAAACCGTCAACCAAACAAGGCCATGCAGGAATCGCTTTCTGACAAAGTTATCTTGCACTTGGAATAAATACTTTCAGTAATTTAAATAAAATACAATAATTCAAATGGGCGGTAAGAGCCAAAACAAGTTAGATACAAATAATACGAAACAAATAAGTTCCACTTCATAAGGCTATCTTATCGAACAAATATTGAATGCAATTCCTTAAAATCGCTGAAGGAATATTATTGAAAATGCAACCCTCGTTCATGAAGGCACTCAGAAGAGTAAATGGGTCATATTATCCTAACAGTGACAGTCGCAGACCAACCGCACGAACTAAGAGCAGTCGTACCACTAACTGATGTGCCCTTTAACTGGGCCAAACTGAGTTGGAATGACCCGCACAATAGCGAAAAGTGCATCGTTATTTGGTCCAAATATCGCTCACTTCTCTGAGTGTCGGAAGGACGAGAGCGATTTGGTCACGTAAATTGGGGATGCCCAATAGTGTAATGTGTTAAGCAATGCACTCAAAAAAATTACTCTAGTGCCATAACTGCAAGTCAATTTATACCTCGCTTGAAGGTACAAATGTGAACTTTCGATCATTCGTCAATCTATGCAAAATGAATGCCCTAGATAAGCACCGACATCTCTTGCGTTTCATTGCGTTATTTATCTCTTGCGTTTCGATGGGCATCAGATGCTCCAGTTGAACCATGATCAACATAATAATCAATGAACGTTAGTTTCGTGCACAAATTAACACTAATGAAGTTAATAAATAATGCACAGTAACAATGCGTTTCATTTCTAAGTGAAGCTACTGAACGACAGAAGCAAAATCGTTTAGAAACTCGCGAAAAAATCTTATATGTTAGCATGTGAATCTGAGCAAATGTTGAAATCTCCTTCGCCGTAAGTCAATTTTTTTATTTGTAAAGCATTCTTTCCGTGATTACTCAGCTTTATCAGGATTCCGTTACATTCAACGTGCACAAAAATAATTTTACTTCACACACTCTGGATCTACTCACTGAAGCGCAAACTGCAATAAAAACGAGAGGCTGGTCAACAAAAACAAGCTTTAGTTATGCGCGTGGAGGGAATTTGCTTTCTCAATTGCTTTCTCAAGAGTATTCAATTTTTTCGAACTGGAACCAACCATCATTTCAAAAATAAAATTAATACGAAAGATGCTAACTAATCAATATGCAATTGAAGTAATTAATTGATTCTATGATGTGCAATTTTTAAATTTATTTTTACAAGATTTATACTGGATTCTTGAATTATCTAAATTTTCGCGAGTTCTATACGAATAGAGGTAGCCAATAACAACATTAACTGATAGTGACTTTTGAACCGATCGATACAATCAAGTTCTCTGACATTGCATCACATAATCTTTGACTTTGAATAAGTCTTGGATAAGTTCGCTTCGTAGTTACTTAACAAAGTAATCCACCTCCATGCCAATTCCCTGACAGTCCCTATGCATTCTGAAAAGGCTTGAATTGATAGTTATTCTCACTCACATACACCACGTTTTCCACAGCATGCTGGTCAAAAAATGCAGCCTCGACAACAAGTTGTGGCGCTACTGTTGGCGTCACTCAGTGACTCAAACGATTGATACAAAACTATCGTTATACATTATAGATCCTCAACCTGTATTTCTACGGCATGGAAGCCGTAGAACAGAGTTGATTTACCGAACTATTTTTCAATAGAAAGCTTCAAAAGGACAAGATTACGCGTGAACACCTAATGTGAAATATCGCGGTAAAAAGAAGTCTAAGCCTTGAAACAGATTCAAGCAGTCATCAAAATCGAAACTGAAGATATAAGATTCAACAGGCTGTCAAATTATTTGATAATATTTCATGTTGTTGATGAAATGAGCGTAAAAAAAAGAGCAATGATGAAATTATGCCTCCTTGATATTTTCAAATAATAAATTAGTTTTTTACTCGTAGTAGTAGTTAAAAAATAATTGCTACATCCCACAACTTCAATCGAAATAATTCAAAATAATAACACAGAATTGCACAACAGCAAAGTAGCTGAACTACGAAGTCCTTCGATATGTCAAGTTCTAATTTAATTCATGATACAAGGTGCTAGGCTTTGATGTAAAATGCTTCAAGGTTTTTCAACCTTGGTAATCAAAAATTTATTCACGCTTCTAATAAATGAAAATGATTATGTAACTTTTATATTGAACCTTGTTCATTCGAATGATGAAGTTTTCAAAGCAGCATCAATGGCCTAGTCAATTTTGACAGCAGCATAGATCTTTCTAATGAACCAATAAGCAGAGTAGAAGCCAATGGTGCCAGTAAGCACCCATACCGACACGACCATAATGGACGTGTAGGAAAAGTAGAGAAGGAGAGGCACGAATTCTGATATCTCAAGCTTGGTAACCAGGTAGAAAATGGAGTACAGAGCGATGTAGAACGCTGAGCCTCCTGAAGTGACCAGGGACCGCCACCACCAATGGTAGTCTTCTCCACACAACTGGAAGTACACCATAACAATGCTGATCTGTGCACAGCTGATCACGAGGATCAGGAACACCAGGAAGAGGAAGCCGAAGAGGTAATAGTATTGGTTCTCCCAGATAGCAGAAAGAATAAAGAAGAGCTCAATGAACATGGCACCGAAAGGCAGAATACCGGCCATGAGCAGACACAGAGCTGGGTGCATGTACCATACCTGTTCAGGGACCTGCCGGGGAATTTGGTTGGTGCGAACGGGATGCTCATATGCTTGCTTCCGGAATCCAAAGAAGTAGCCGATGAAAGTAAGAGGCATGGCAACAAAGAACCAAAGAGAAAAAAGAGCCAGCATAGTAGGAATAGGTATTGCACTGCTAGACTCTTTTCCCCACACAAAGAAATTGAGGAAGAAGGCGATCGTGAATATGTATGAAGGATACAATGTAGCCGTCCAAAATGCTGCTGACTTCCACTGCTGGCCACGCAGGGTTCGGTACAAGCGGCCAGACATGTAACCTGAAAAATGACCTCGAGATTAAATGGTGACACATCAATGGTCTAATTTTAAAACATACCTCAATAAAATATAATCTGCTAAATTCTCAAAAATTTCAACTGGCAATTAAGTTCTAGATATTAGGTAATTTATACACGCCCAGTGAGAAAATTTTTCTTGATATTTTATTCTCATCAAACAGTTTACTAGCCTCTAATTTGTATTATACGTTCTCATGAGGTTATGCATTAAAAGTTGTACAATAATCAATAAATCATGAATACCAACTTGTAAAGTTGTGTCAATTTTTGGCAATAAAGTATACACTATGTACCTTAAAGGTTTGATCAGTTAGTTAGTTTAGTGGCCAAATGTTTACTAGCACTTCAGCTATTTAGCTATCTCGCACCGAAAGTCAAAATGAACATCACCATAGAGGTGGAAGGTCTCAATTATTCATCACCCACAAGGGGGCGGAAGGTCTCAGATGTCACGAAGTGACAAGGAGGGACAGGTGAAAAGCAACAGAAACGAAGACACTCGAACAAGAGGTCGCTTACACGGGACGTCGGCCGCCGGCACGAGAGAGACAGAGAAGGGAAATGTAAGGAATCCTACCTACATAATAACATAACCCCACAACTGAGACCAACGGTCAGACACCGTGAGCTCAGCGGTGGGGCGCTCAGGAACAATCCCCCTAGGAACGCGAAATCCCTTAGGACATCTGACGCGCACAGACACACGTCAGAAGTCCCCCCAGAGGGGTAAAGGTTTGATCATCTTTCAACAACTATGACTTCTGATAAGTTTTGTAAATCGACCAAAGTTAACCTCACTCTCTATAAATTTGTCAACAGTACTTTCACTATCCTAAATCTGCCCTACATTAATCTCACCAGCAACAAGGGCCATGAACACATAGAGGAAGATGCCAGCAGTCATGAGAGCGCCTCGGCTTGCTGGGGACAGCATGCCAAACATGGCTAGCACCAAGATGATGAGTGCCATGCACAAGATCTGAACACCTGAGCCCACGAGAGCAGCAAAAAGCTTTGGGAAGCGAGGAGGTCGAAACACATCACCATGGACTAATTTCCAGCCTGATTCCTCCATGCTTTCTTCAAACACGTCATCAGCATTGTACCTTTGGCACCAGAATGCAGATGATAATACTACATTACTACAGTACTTCAATGCAGCATATTAATTCAATTGACGTACCAAGAAAAGTACACTTTTGTTTACAAATTTTAAGCATTTGAAAATTAAATGTATGCCCTGTGGTTAACAGAAATTTGATCATTCAAAAGAAAGTATTTTTTATTGTTAGTAGATAATATAGTTAATGTATTTTTCTTTTCTTAACTGGTAGTAAAGTCTGTTCACATAATAATTTTTGAACAGCCCTCATACTAATGATAACACACTACTTTTCACACCTTGCAATGTCCCTACTTAGAGTGCACACCATGTGATAGTAATCTTTTATAACTTATGCTAGATTCTGTCAAAATAAATTACTTTTGTGCAGCCTTCAAACTATCAATAACCTGTTATTTAACACACATTGCAAAGTCACTGAAGAGAGTGCAGACCATATATTGAGCCTAACGGGTATATACTAGAATCTGTCAATATGAATAATTCTTGTACAGCCCTCAAAGACATTACTTCACACACCTTGCAATATCCCTGCGGAGAGTGCGGACCATGATCATGGTGAGAATGCCAGAGAGGAAGAAGACCACCACAAGGGAGTTGATGATAGAGAACCAATGAATCTGCAGGTCGGTCATGTGCAAGTAAATGTCCCATCTTGATGACCAGTGAACGTCTGATGCTTTCCATGTCACCGAGTATGAGAACACGATATTATTTTTACCTGAAATAAATAAATTTTAAATTAGATTATGTTTTGGGTGATAAACCAGTGACCTAATTGCCCTAGAAAGTAATGGCATGTACAATGAAAAAGTTTAAAAACATAGGATAGGCCATGGGCCTATTTTTTCAGTGCCAACACTTCTATTCTATTCTATAGGATTAATGTTAAAAATTATCAAACATTATTACCTAAACTACCGTATAGCTTAAATTTATCAATAAATCACAAGGAGTGATTTACATAACAACTTAACAAGTATATATAAACTATGATAACAAGGATTCATAAAATCATGTTCATATTAAGCATGTTTTTTAGAAAATTTTTGTTAACAATTGTTGCATCTCCTGAAAGAAAAGCAACCCACTGATTTTCTCATTTCTCAACTCCTTACAAATTTACAATATATTCATGCAGAATTCCTAACTATTTGCAACTAATATTTCCAGTTGGCAACTTTGCAGTTGTTTACATGCTGAATATATATCAAAGTATCTTAAAACTAATATAGAAATCTTTTTATCTATAAATTATTGTTTTTGAGAAATAATATTATACTGAAATTTGTAAATTAATATACATTGGGCAAGTATTCAACTTGTAAATCAATAAACATTGGGCAAGTATTTTGCCATAGATCAAGAATTATTTTTGACACTGGACACAGTAAAACTAGAGGCATAATTTTCATTTTTAAACCATATAATAAAATAAATTATCTACCACTTGAAATCAAACATTAATAAATAATATAAATAACTAACTGAAACTAAAATTTATTCAGAATACCTTTAGGCACCAGTTTTTGTGGCAAAAATTGCTCAGGAACAATACATCCTTGTGGTCCTCCACTTGGTTTGATGTCAGTGAGAGATATGCTTTTAGTGACAACTTCAAATCTAACCACCTTGAATGCATCACTGTTAGGTTCAGCATGATATGAGAGAATGAAGTCCAAGTGATTGTTGATGAAAACCTCTTCTCCTTTGACAAAACCAAGCTTGTAACCACGTTCATACACAACATCTCCTGTTTCCAAATGGTTGAATTTTGTGGCAATTGGTAGATTATCCATAATAAGATGCACATAGTAGTCATGTTTAATCATATCAATAGCATTTTGTGAGTCCTCTTCTGACCAGCTGAGTGGAGATGAAGCATTGTTGCACACAAATTGGCAGGAAATATCCTTGCTCATAAATACTTCATATGCAGTGGAAACAATTCGATCGCCTCTCAAAATCTCTCCAAGATTTTCAGTTTTATACACAGGACCACCTTGTGGATTACAAAATTTCAGAGAATAGTACCGGTATGGCAGCTGAGTCTGCGAACTCGTCATCTTCACAGCCTTTACTTCCACAGGACTTCCTTTCTTGAATTCTACAGGGGCGACTCCTGGTACATAAAATCCTAGAACGTCGCTCCATGACAATATAAATAAAAACATAAATAACTTCATTGTTCCAGCGGTATCACGATCTTTCTTAAATCAGCAATCTTCGCACTCGATAGTAACGCTCAGTTATTGATGCAGAGGAAATATTTTTATGCCAACACAACAAACCGGGACAGCTGACCTTCAAACACAAATAAAAGATCGCTCGCCGAAAGGCACTACTGTGAGCAAGATTTGTGGTGAGGTGAGCATTGAGGCAAATTACACGGCAACAAATTTTTAGTATTCGATATTATGATTTATGAAAATTTAAGTTTTGTTTTTAGTGATGTGTTATTAAACACATTCACATCGATCAAGCAAAATGTCACGTCTCGGACAATTTTACGGCCAGTCTCACGGCCAATCTTCAAATTCAATGACCAAGGAATATCACGTCTCGGACAAATTTACGGCCGAACTAATGAACACAGCTGATCAAACTTGTTACGCGTATTCACTAGAACATATCGGTGATGTTAATTTCGTAGAAGTTTTTTTTTTCAATTTTACCTTCATTCGTCAGTTAGCTATAAGGCAATTCGGGCAGAAATTTGCAGTGATCAAGAAATTTCTTTCTAAACTGCTGAACAGATTTGAACAACACTTAGAAGATATATATATTCCTAACCTCCGAACAGTGATGTTTAGCTCGTGAAAATTTTTTCGATTTTGCCTTCGTTTGCGAGTTATACGGATATACGGATAAACGACCGGCATTTTTCAGGCCGATTTTTGAACTTGCATAGACCAAGAGTCATTTACGTAAAGCCGCATAACGCGCAAACGAAGGCAAAATAAAAAAAAATTGTCACGAGCTAAACATCACCGTTTGGAGGTTAGGTTCAGTATTTTAGAAAAAATCTCTGGTACACTGTGAATTTAAGCACTATTTTGCTGTTTAAATCGCGAATGAGGGAAAAGAGAAAAATACTCGCCAACAAAGGCGAAACGTAAAAAAATTTCACGAGCTAAACATCACCGTTTAGTATTCAGAAATTCATATTCAAATTTCATTCAGATCTGTTCTGTACTCTGACCGATTCGACCGATTCGACACTTCAGCGAACTCGCCTGCGAGCTCGAATGCAGAACCTAACTCCATTTTCAACTCTGGCACTCATAAATCCTTCAACAATGAACGGATTTTATTCAAATTTGATAATATCAGTAATTTGCGGGCGGAATTTTTTCAAAAAGTTATTGTTGTAAAAATCTGAAAAAATTCCGTCCGCAAATTACTGATATTATCTACTTATATTTCAAATTTGAATAAAATCGGTTCATAATTGACGGATTTGTGAGTGCCAGAGTTGCAAATGAAGTTAGGTTTTCCGTATTAACAAAAAAGTTATAGATGTAAAAATCTGAAAAAATTCCGCCCGCAAATTACTGATATTATCTACATATGTTTCAAATTTGAATAAAATCCGTTCATTATTAAAGGATTTATGAGTGCCAGAGTGAAGTTAGGTTTTGCATTCGAGCTCGCAGGCGAGTTCGCTGAAGTGTCGAATCGGTAGTACTCTGGAAGAAATGGCTGGTACACTGCAAATTTCGGTACGTTTCGTCATCCAGAGATGGGCAGTAGCGCGCTACATGTAGCGACCGCTACTAGCAGCCGCTACATTTTTAGTAGCGGTAGCGGTAGCGGCGCTACATTTAAGGCAATGTAGCGGTAGCGGTAGCGCCCGCTACATATTTAAGTAGCGATACGAGGTTTTGTCGCTACAGCGCTCCCGCTACATTTATAGATAGAGCCTTTAGATTTTACTTAATAGTATTAAATATTATTTAAAAACAAGTGTGAAACATACATGATATAAATTACAGAATAAAACTGTACCGAAGATTTCGGTGTTATGTTGTCGATACCAATAACTGTACCAATAGCAGAACAATAAATATTTAGAAATTTCCAATAATTTTGGCCATTGTAGCGGCTGATGTAGCGGCGCTACATTTTACTGTAGCGGTAGCGCCCGCTACAATCTAGTGGGTGTAGCGGTAGCGGTAGCGCCCGCTACATTTAGAGCATGAAATGTAGCGCCGCTACATTTCAAAGTAGCGCTGCCCAGCCCTGCGGCGGATATAACTCACGAATGAAGGCGATATTAAAAAAATTGTCACGAGCTTGACAACACCGTTGTGCCATAATGAATATGTGTACCAAGTTTCATCGAGATACGTTCAGTACTTTGGAAGATATTCCAGGTACACTGACGGCCGCGAGTCCGGCCGCGATACCGGCCGTAAATTTGTTCAAGACCGTGAAACGTTATAATTTAGGAATCAATTTAATAATTTTTGCATTACCGCAAAAATTATTTTTCATCTTTAATTGTTTTAAGTATAGACGTTAATCTCATAAATGCCAATTAAACAACCGAAAAAATCCATTACTCCGTATCGGACTTGCTATTCAACCGAACCCGTCAACATTTGAAACTCTTCGTACTACTTTGGACGACACTTCAGGGATCGGGAGAAAGTCAGTTGCGTTCGTCGTGAAAGCACGTGTGAGAATTGCGATCCCTAAAGTAAAGTAACCGGTAAATTTTTGATTCAGATTCTTATAAGTATTCATAACATTTATTATTTGATTTGTTTCTGCTTTAACCCGACTGGCTTTCTCCCTCAGAGGTTTGCCAGTCCGCATTGTTTTTTTTTTTTTTTTTTTTTTTTTTTTTTTTTTTTTTTTTTTTTTTTTTTTTTTTTTTTTTTTTTTTTTTTTTTTTTTTTTTTTTTTTTTTTTTTTTTTTTTTTTTTTTTTTTTTTTTTTTTTTTTTTTTTTTTTTTTTTTTTTTTTTTTTTTTTTTTTTTTTTTTTTTTTTTTTTTTTTTTTTTTTTTTTTTTTTTTTTTTTTTTTTTTTTTTTTTTTTTTTTTTTTTTTTTTTTTTTTTTTTTTTTTTTTTTTTTTTTTTTTTTTTTTTTTTTTTTTTTTTTTTTTTTTTTTTTTTTTTTTTTTTTTTTTTTTTTTTTTTTTTTTTTTTTTTTTTTTTTTTTTTTTTTTTTTTTTTTTTTTTTTTTTTTTTTTTTTTTTTTTTTTTTTTTTTTTTTTTTTTTTTTTTTTTTTTTTTTTTTTTTTTTTTTTTTTTTTTTTTTTTTTTTTTTTTTTTTTTTTTTTTTTTTTTTTTTTTTTTTTTTTTTTTTTTTTTTTTTTTTTTTTTTTTTTTTTTTTTTTTTTTTTTTTTTTTTTTTTTTTTTTTTTTTTTTTTTTTTTTTTTTTTTTTTTTTTTTTTTTTTTTTTTTTTTTTTTTTTTTTTTTTTTTTTTTTTTTTTTTTTTTTTTTTTTTTTTTTTTTTTTTTTTTTTTTTTTTTTTTTTTTTTTTTTTTTTTTTTTTTTTTTTTTTTTTTTTTTTTTTTTTTTTTTTTTTTTTTTTTTTTTTTTTTTTTTTTTTTTTTTTTTTTTTTTTTTTTTTTTTTTTTTTTTTTTTTTTTTTTTTTTTTTTTTTTTTTTTTTTTTTTTTTTTTTTTTTTTTTTTTTTTTTTTTTTTTTTTTTTTTTTTTTTTTTTTTTTTTTTTTTTTTTTTTTTTTTTTTTTTTTTTTTTTTTTTTTTTTTTTTTTTTTTTTTTTTTTTTTTTTTTTTTTTTTTTTTTTTTTTTTTTTTTTTTTTTTTTTTTTTTTTTTTTTTTTTTTTTTTTTTTTTTTTTTTTTTTTTTTTTTTTTTTTTTTTTTTTTTTTTTTTTTTTTTTTTTTTTTTTTTTTTTTTTTTTTTTTTTTTTTTTTTTTTTTTTTTTTTTTTTTTTTTTTTTTTTTTTTTTTTTTTTTTTTTTTTTTTTTTTTTTTTTTTTTTTTTTTTTTTTTTTTTTTTTTTTTTTTTTTTTTTTTTTTTTTTTTTTTTTTTTTTTTTTTTTTTTTTTTTTTTTTTTTTTTTTTTTTTTTTTTTTTTTTTTTTTTTTTTTTTTTTTTTTTTTTTTTTTTTTTTTTTTTTTTTTTTTTTTTTTTTTTTTTTTTTTTTTTTTTTTTTTTTTTTTTTTTTTTTTTTTTTTTTTTTTTTTTTTTTTTTTTTTTTTTTTTTTTTTTTTTTTTTTTTTTTTTTTTTTTTTTTTTTTTTTTTTTTTTTTTTTTTTTTTTTTTTTTTTTTTTTTTTTTTTTTTTTTTTTTTTTTTTTTTTTTTTTTTTTTTTTTTTTTTTTTTTTTTTTTTTTTTTTTTTTTTTTTTTTTTTTTTTTTTTTTTTTTTTTTTTTTTTTTTTTTTTTTTTTTTTTTTTTTTTTTTTTTTTTTTTTTTTTTTTTTTTTTTTTTTTTTTTTTTTTTTTTTTTTTTTTTTTTTTTTTTTTTTTTTTTTTTTTTTTTTTTTTTTTTTTTTTTTTTTTTTTTTTTTTTTTTTCCTTTTNGACCAAGAAGATCAACAAAAACCATGATATAGTTGCAGTGCTCCTATGAGCTAATTAAACCTATAAGTGGTTGGAAAAATCAGTATTGGAAAAACATTAAGTAATGCCATGTCCAGGTGTGACAGTTGGCCTGACTGAGACCACCTCTACACCTCCAACAAAGCAAGCAAGCAAGCAAGCTTTGTTTGCGATTTTTTTTTTCATTTCACCGTCATTCTTGATTTCACACTTCTTTATATTTGGCCCGTATTGCCGTGTAATTTGTCACTTAAATTCGCGGCGATCAAGAAATTTCTTTGAAACAACAGAACAGATTTCAACGAAACTTTGTATATAAATACCTAACCTCTCAATGGTGATGTTTAGCTCGTGACAATTTTTCTATTTTGCTTTTGTTCGCGAGTTATACAGATATAGGAGGAACGACCGACTTTTATACCTGCCAGTTTAACCAAGAGCCTTTCACGTATAGCCGTATAACTCGCAAACAAAGACAAAACAAAAAAATTGTAAACAATCACCGTAGCTGAGGTTAGGTATTTAAATACTAAGTTTCGTTCAAATCTGTTCAGTAGCTCGGAAAAAATGTCGTGATTACTGTGAATTTAAAGCACGTATTGCTATTTAAATCACGAATGAAGGTGAAATAAAAAAAAAACTCGCCAATGAAGGCACAATCGGAAAAATGTTCACGAGCTAAACATTACCGTTCTGTAGTTAGGACTGTAAATTCAAAATTTCGTTTGAATCTGTTCAGTAGTTTGGAAGAAATTACCTGATCACTGTGAATTTTGGCCTGTATTGCCATATAACAATGGCAAAAACAAACTATGACAAAATTCAAACAATTTTCACGAGCAAAACATTATTGTTAGGTCCTAATGAATACGTGTACCAAGTTTCATAGAGTTAAGTTCATTAGTTTAAGAGATATTCGTTGATTGTTGAATTTGAAAATTGTCTGTGAGACCGGCCGCGAGTCCGGCCGTTAATTTGTCCAAGACGTACACCCAGGAGAGGTTAAAAAAACAATCTGGGTGAAAAAAACCATAGGGGAGTCATGTGCTTCACGTGTTGTGTACAAATCGTCAAACAAACGTTCGAACTTCTGACATTGACTTCGGACTACTGCCCCCCTATCGCCCCCCAAATGCTCTCTTCTTCCTTACCGCCCCCCAAAATCTTTCCACCGCCCCTAGGGGGGCGATATCGCCCACTTTGGGAACCACTGCCCTAAATGATCGTTTTCACCTGCAAAATTAGGAAACTTCCATCTGATATTCCAATTGGGCTCAGCTCATGTGAAGACTGAAGAGTCTTGTAGTAAATATTTTCATTTTATTTATTTTCTGTTACCAATCTAGCGTGTAAGACAAAATTTTCCAAAAATTTTGGAAAATTCACTTATCCTATCTCCTTTCCTTTTCATTTTTTCTTTTTTTAGTACTTTGACCAAGTGATCAAAGTACTTCAACATTGAATTTTATATAATGACTTTATAATAATATAAATCACTAAACATTGGGCAAGTATTTTGCCATAGATCAAGAATTATTTATGACAAGAAAAAAATAGAAGCATAATTTTCATTTTTAACCCTTTCCCCACTGACGGGACTCACAAGTCCCGCCTCAAGTTTCACGCTCTAAAATACATACAACAAGGAATTTTAGGTCCAGGCACCTAACGGGACTTCTACGTTCGTTTATACACCTCAAGAAAATTACTAATTGGCAACCGGCTCACCCAGTGTAAAAATTTATATTCTAACGAAATATAACAAATAAATGTATTTGGAAGACTGTTTTTGATGAAAAAAATAGAAATTAGGGAAACGACTTGCAAGTCCCGCCAGGAGAACCGGGACCTGATAGTCCCGGTAGGAGTCGCGTGTCGTTTGCGTTACTAGGTAGGAATACTACTGAGAATTCCAATTCTTACTGGTCCCATCGATTTCGTATTCATTTTTTTTTACACCACGGCACTTTTATTTTGTAACTTATTTTATTTTCAGACTTGTACACTTCTTCCTGAAACATGGCCAATCAATCATTGGAAGACGATGAAATACTTCATCTGTTGGACGAAATTGATACTGACATTGACGAAGATACCGACATTGAGCCTGATGATCGAGACCCCACAGAAACCATTCATATCGTGAACAGATTAGATGCGGAAGCCGAAGATGAATCCATTATCATTGAATTGGATGAACAAGCCGAGATTATACCTACTGATGCAGCTTCCGAGACTCCTGTGATAGGAGTTCATCCACGAAAATGGAGAAAAAAAGAAGAAAAATCAATTGTCCATGAGTTTGTCGCGCATCCCAAACTAAATCATGAATTTGCATGTGCCCTCGATGTTTTTTTTGCATTTTTTGATGAGGATCTTCTTGATATGATTCACTTCCAGACTAATTTGAAAAGTGTACAAAAGGGTAAGCCTGCTTCTGTGACAAAAAATGAAATAAAAGTATTCATTGGAATCAACATTGTGATGGGCTACAATAGAAGAAATCAGCTCCGACATTATTGGTCCTCATCACAAGACATGGGTGTTCCTATCATTCAAGCAGCAATGTCTCGTGACCGTTTCGTTGAAATTCTAGGATGTCTGCATCTAAACGACAATGCAAAACTGACTGAAAATAAGCACGACAAGTTATTCAAATTGAGACCGTATCTTGAAAAACTAAATGAACGATTTTCCGCGGTAAATAATCCTCCAGAATTCTTGTCTGTGGATGAGTCCATGATCAAATTCAAGGGAAGGAGCTCTCTAAAGCAATACAACCCAATGAAACCCATAAAGCGAGGATACAAATTATGGTGTCTCGCTGATGACTCTGGATACATACACAAGTTTTTCATTTATTGTGGAAAGCGGCAGCCAGGTGACGAACTGGTCAATAATAACCTTGGCCTTGGTGGAAACATTGTTACATCTCTTGTCGCATCATTGAAGAACCGCTTCCACAAGCTCTATTTCGATAACTTTTTTTCATCTATCCCCCTACTTGAAACCTTGAAGACCATGAACATAAATGCATGTGGTACAATCCGTCCAACTCGCAAAGACTTCCCCTTGTTATCTACTGATAAAGAATTGAAACGAGGAAACTTCGATTACCGCAGTACTCCTGCAGGAATAACAGTTTACAAGTGGAAGGATACAAAACCAGTACATTTCATTTCCAACTACCACGGAGTTGAAGCTTCTACTGTGCAAAGGAAGGACAAAACTGGCACAAAAACGGTCGTCACCTGTCCAACGGTGGCAAAAGATTATAATAAACACATGGGGGGAGTTGATAAGCATGACATGCTAAGGCAAATCTATGGCATCAATAGGAAGAGCTTGAAATGGTGGCATCGTATATTCTTCGGACTTCTAGATATGACAATCGTGAACAGCTTTCTCATTCACAAGGAACATTGTCAATCTGCCATTTCCCTCTTGGAATATCGACAAGAAATAGCATGTGGACTTCTGGCATATACAGAACATTCATGCACCCATCATGCCAAGAGGAAAAAAGGAAAATTCTCGACACCGGACTCCGTGCGGTTGAGCAACGCTGGAATTCACTGGCCCCTGTTCACAAACATTCGTGGTCGTTGTGAAGTTTGTTCCCTGGATAAAGTGGAATCACGTCCATTATCCAAATGTTCTCACTGTGGCGTTCATCTTTGTTGCAACATAAAAAAAACTGTTTTGTCGAGTATCACAAGTAGCTAGGAAGCGTGCGATAAAGGAAATGTGATGTATTCAGTTATTATTTTATCTCACCTTGTCACATAAGCCAAAGTTATTATCCTATGTCATAAATTAATATTTCATTCAGATTATTTTTTCTATATACTTACTGATAATAAATATCTGATTGGCTTTTACACTGTATCAAATGTATCAGCAAGGCAAAAAAAATCAGCCACTTTTTATGCTGAAAAGATATTATTTTATTTGTTTTTTTTTTGTGTTAATTTTGTAAGTCAAAAATGTTTACTGCACAACGTGTTTTATTTTACATTATTATTGTTAATAAGTGCATATTGTACAGATCTTGGAGCATAATACAAGGGATTGCGTGTGATGGCTATGCGATTAATACATGTACCGCGAGCCCTGACGGGACTCTGGAGTCCCAGATCACTATTTTTTATATTAATTGATTTTTTTTTATTTTAGTACCATAGAAACTATAATAGAGGTTCACAAAGCACAATTAACACAAAAAAAATACATAAAATAACTTGCATCATATAGCCGGGTGGAAAGGGTTAAACCATAAAATAAATGAAATTATCTATCACTTGTCACTTGAAAGTTGAAGTTAGAATCAATTGGGAATCAACCACAAACCTCGCTCACAGATGTCACAGTAGTGGCTGTAGTGCCTTTTGGCAAGCAATTTTTTGTTATTTTTATAGTTAATCATTGTAGACCAATAGCCAATAGGTATCACTTATCAGATTATTGATATTGATAATAGTGATCATAGATGACTATGATCACTATTATCATAGTGATTATAGTCATCATACTCATAACTAGTGACTAGTCATAGGTAGGATATCACTATCACTCTATCAGTCTATCAGCATCTTCAAATATTATTTGAATAAATTTTGAACTCAGGAAGTTAAAAATGAACTGGCTTCTAAAAAATCCCTCATTCCACTATGCATTAATACATGGCTTTTTGCCTTTTGTCCAATTTTCCAGAAGAGGTGTGTCATATTTTACTATTTTAGGTCAATTTTAAATCTTACTAGGTAATACTTACTGGAAAACAATTCCAAAGATTTTTTTTTTTGTAATATATCTTGTATTTTTTATTCTTTCTCTTCTTTGTGTTCTATTTATTTTTTGTTATTCATACAGACTGGATCCCTCAAGCAGACAGTGATATACTGTTCCTGTTTCATCTCCATGGCTGAGCAAAGGAAGGGGATCCTGTTGGAAGGTCTTTCTTCTCCTGATGGACTTGTGGAGTCTTTCAATGATATTGAAAATGTAAGTATCCAGTATCAAATTTCATTTGAATCTGAAGCCAATTTGTTGTTTAACTTCAGTTAAGATCTTAGTTTTAAGAAGCTGATGATATGAACTCATTGGTTTGGTAACTTTGGTTGCATTGTACATGAAATTTTATAAATGTGTATTAATCATCTAAATTATAGTGATTGTCAGTATATTCTTTGATTTTCATTATATTATCTATTAAATGTATTCTGCTCTTCTTATAATTTTATCAATTAAAATACTAGAAGATTTATTCTTTGATGCATTTTATAATCATGAGTCATGACCCAATTAAAATTGAAATTTGTAAAAAATTGTATTATTATATTTCATTAGATCTTATTTTGTGTGCTGTATGGTTATGGCCAGTGTTGTGTAGATATGCCCTAATTTGTATAAACTAACTTTTATTTTCATGGATTATGGATTGATCTCAAAAATATATCACTGCTTTTTTAATTGTTTTTTTTTTTTTTTTTGATCTGTCACAAAAATTCATCCAAAGCATCAATTGTTGGTTTTAGATGTAGGTATTATTTATTGGCCTTTTATTGAAACTTTCAAATGGCAATTGTTTTTAGAAAATCATAAGTAGTAGGTACGGTATTTCAGAGATGATTTATATTTTCTTCTAGCTAAATTTGCCTTTGTATGTGCAGTGTGATGACAGTGCAAATTCAGCATCTGGCATATACAAAAGAAGAATGGGTAAGATTTCTTATGTGTAATAATCAAGTTGCCGTTAGTTGATGACCTAAAACTTTGATCTGTTCTTTGTGCTTTGCCTAAAATAAAATCAAGACATAAGTGGGAAGTTGAATGATACATCCAATGATACACGTAGTAGGTACAGTAATTACTGTACCACAATAACAGTACAGTACCATAATAACAGACATTAACAGTACAGTATCATAATAACCGTACTGTACGGTACCACAATAACTAACAGTACTGTACCAAGATAACAGTACCGTACAGTATTATTAACACTTTGCCTATCCAGACACAGTAGCTTACAACATTATCAATAAACATAGGTACCTACATTAAAATAATTTGCAGTGAACAATGTTTAATAGGCCCTCCATTTTTTACTGTGATGAATGAGCGGTTGATATTAGGTCTCATAAAGAGTCATATCAATAAATCTATGTAGCTCCACTGTCATAACCCAATCACTGATTATTGATATGCATTCATCTAGTCTCATAATTGCTTTATTGTTGAAATGGAAAATGAAATAAAATTTTTTAATTCTGCCCTTACTTTGAATTTTTTTACAGATTTGACCAGGAGCATTTGTGGTACTCCATCAAGTAGAAGAGATGAAACCTTCAGAGTGAGGAAACTGATAAGTAAGTTTTGAAAAAAAAGGTGAATTTCTGTTTAACCCGCAATTACCAATAATTAGATTTTTTACATACACGCAATTGCATTGTTTTCCGTCTATTACTATCCTGCCTTATTAAGTAAGTATGGAATGGGGTTGTATCTGAAGTAAAAATAAAACTTTTTTTATTTCAGAAATTGTTGCTAGAAAAAGTCTCCTTACTATTTTTTGGCTTTTCCTTAACTTATTCGTTTGTTTTGAATACATCAATGTTAAATTATGATAGCTTTAGTGAGATCTCATTTCCTAAATGCTTTCTAATATGCACATACTAATTTAATAATCACTCAAATGTTTATGATATTCTTCTTATTGCAGGTGTTCTCAGTCAATCTAGTGGCAGTAGTGGGTCAGCTAGTCGGTGCACTGGCAGTTCCAAGACTTCTACTACTCCACGTGGGTCAGCTCTGGATTTCTCTATGACCTCTACTCAGGGTGGTGTGGGTGGCTTGGACGATGTCGAGATGCCAAGTTTTGTGACAGACTCGACACTCAACTCTACTCCAAACTTACTAGTTTCATTAAGTCCGGCGTATGCTGCCAATACTCCTGTTGCAGGTGGAGATGCCTCACATGTTTTGAACATTTCAGCACTAAATACCACTATTTCTGGTTTTTCTGCTGAACAATCTCCCATTCTGCAAACAAGTGATGTTACAATGCAAATTCCAAGGCTGGTTGTATCACCTAAAAAAAGTTTAGTCAATGGGACATTTTCAGTGCCATCTGCAAACAATGAGGCTAATAAATCATTTATTGTTGATTGTGATACTGGCACTAATTATGAACGAATGAAATTAATGCACGAAAACTTTAGTATTAATGGTAATGACTCAGAAAATTGCAAGAAAATGACGGATGAATTTAGGGTGAATGACATCACCCTGAACTTACCTAGTTTTGCTCCTCCTGGGCTACTAAACGACTTGGATCATAACACTACAAGTAATTTTGCACCAGAAACTTTGAAAAATGAACCACTAAATACAACTTTCAATGCTGAAGTATCCATATCTGCAAAACCCAATAATTCAGGTGTCCCGAAGCTGGAAGATGAAATTAGAAGGGTTAATACTAATAGAGTGGACGAGTTGAAATTTGAAAATATCAAGCATCAATTTGAGCTCAATAAGGCAGAATCCAGTGTAGATGCAGCAAGAATCAACCAAACATCAAAGCTGCAAGAAACAAGTGGATCACACGACGCATTCTTTGATTTCCAAGAAGATATTTCCATTGTGCTGCAGAAACTAGCCCAGGATTTTGAGAACGAGCAGTCGTGTGACTCGATTCTTGACTTGACAAATGTAGAAAACCAGTTTGTTGTAACAGGTGTGTGTGATGCTGAAAAATTTATACATGTGCTTGAATTTGAATGTTGTTATTTTGTAAGATCTACAGGTTTTATTGAATTTTTACTCTCATATTTTCATTTGAGCATTTTAAATCGTCAAATTTTCTGAAATCGCTAAAGGTGTGTTTTGAAATTACAGTGATTTCAGATATGATATAGGTACCTGCATTGTTACTGGATGAAAATAGCAAGTTATTTCCTGTATTTTGTAAAAATATTTTGGAGTTTACACAAAATGCCTGACATATAACATATAATTTTTTTATTTCTCAGATGAGACAAGTCCCACATTGCCTGAGTTACCAACATCATTGGGCTCCTCTCAGGTTAGCAACTTTGCATTTATTAAATACCTATATCCTCTCTTTATGTACTGTCAATAGTTTTACACTAATTTAACCAATTTAATTGAAGATTTAAAAAGTTCAGGACTGTTTAAATTTGCTTCATGAGTAGTCTTTAAATGATATCAAATTAAAAAACTTTAATTACAGGGGAATTTAAATAACTACAGCAAACAGCAAGACTTGTTTATGCACGGTGCTGCCCAGAGTGGGGGTCTCAACACCCTTCCTGAAGAGGATGAAGACGATGAAAACCTCGTAGCCATCATCGCTGCTATCAAGTCCTCTGGCCGCGTCACGCTGCCGGTTCCTCCTAAGCAGCAAATTAATTCCGACGTGTTAAAAGCTGCCGAAGCATCACTTTCGACAGCAACAAAGGCTGCCGATTCTCCTGCTGTTGCGACAGGAGCGAGACCAAAAAGAACTGTTAAAACAACTATTCCTGGGAAAAACAAAGTTGTTACTTTCAGCTTTACTGAAGACAGTCCGAAGATAATTTCTGATCCTGCTCGTTCTGCAAAGTTACATGATACTTTTGACACTGACATCAAGGCCAAGCTTGAAGGTACTTTTGACTCTGTTGAGCCTTGTCTCCTAAACGGAACTTTCAATTTGGCTTCTTCTAAAACTTCCATGCTGGATGGAACTTTTCACGCCTCTTGCAAGACAGTAAATAGTGCTGCTTTCGACAATGTAATGGTAAATAAGCTGAATGATACTTATGAAAATATTGGAGAAAGTGATAAGAAAACACAGAATGAGCGTATCAGCTGCCAAACTCCAGACGAAGTTAACTCAACTTTCGTTTACAATCCACAAGAGTTGACAACAAACAAGACCACTGCGCAACATGGTGGTGTGCATAACCCCTCGATAAAATGCTCGGTTGATAAGAGTAAGGTTAACTGTACCTTTGATGGAACTCAGCGTGGGATGAACCGTACTTTTGACGGGGCATCTAATGCCATCAACACCACTTATGATGGAGGACCTCACGCCATCAACGCCACTTTTGATGGAAGACCTCACGCCATCAACACCACTTTTGATGGAGGACCTCACGCTGTTAACACCACTTTTGATGGAGGACCTCGCTCTGTCAACACCACTCGTGATGGAAGACCTCACGCTGTCAACACCACTTTTGATGGAGGACCTCGCTCTGTCAACACCACTCGTGATGCAGGACCTCACGCTGTTAACACCACTTTTGATGCAGCGTTTCATGCCATTAACAGCACATTTGATGCTGCTCATCGCGCGGGTAACAATAATTCTGACGATGGCAAAGGTCTCAATCGAACTCATGATGTAGTTGGCAACGCAAACATTGATGCTTGCAGCCCTAACAACACATATGATAAAGACTGCGTCTCTGCCAACGATAAGCGGTACGTTGTATTAGACATTCTTGGGTGCTTCTCAAACACATTTTTTTGAGAGGGTAAAATGGGTAATTTTGCCCACGCAGTAGTCGAGTGTTGAAACACATTAAGTTTGAATAAAAGTTTTGAGCTTAACCCCGCTGCAGATATTTTGCTATTTTACTTTTAGGTATGTGTCGATGGTGACGCTCGCAGAGTGGTTGTCTGCGAAACCTATCACAAGACTTTAAACATTTGGAAATTGATCAATTTGTATTCCATCTTTCAATCGAACTTATGTTAATTGAAAATTTATGCGCCTTGATTACTGATTTATATTCATAATATTTAATTTGAATGAAATGCACTGCAGTCATATGGTTTGAATTGTTCCATTCACATCAATATTTTGTGTCGAGTACTAGAGATGAGGAGTAGCTAGATAATTACGACTAACATTGTTTTATTCTTCTACACTGAAGATTATATTTCTATATTTTAGGCCATCACTGAACAGAAGTCGCAGCATGCCGTGCACTTCCCCCAACACAGAGCAGCTGGACGAGTCAGTGCACGAACTATGTGCCAGTCAAAGCTACAACTGCATTAATTTAATGGATGCTGATGCCCCTGTACTGAAACACATTCTTAAGATGCCTCTACAACAGCAGCAGCAATTGCGAGCTCTTTATGAGAGTCCTTCTAGAAGGGTTAGTGCTGATTCACCTCCTGTACTATATCTCGAACAATGATTTAACTCTATATTTTGTATCAACGAAACTATGTATATTTCTGCTGCATATTGGGTGGGTCTTGGAGCTCAATGTGACTACCATTTCACTCAATGGAGTTACTAATGCCTTCCATAGGGAAACTAAGACCCTCTGTTCCAAGGTCAGTCACAAACTTCTTTTAATGCAATTTTTTTAGCCAATCCTGCCTAAAAGAGTGTATTGAGATTTGGGGATATGTTCTGATACCAAGTCTTATTTTATATAAAAATGACCCTAATTAAAATTTTTTTCATATCTTTCTCAATAATTATATATGAATGACTTATTTTATGCGCAGAATACCTCGTCATTCACGAAGCAGCGACGTTTGACCATGTTATTATTCTCGATAACTATTCATTAATGACTTAATTTATGGGCAGAATAACTCGTTAATGAAGCAGCGACGTTTGTCCATCTTGTTGTTCTCGATAACTATTTATTAATGCCTTAATTTATGTGCAGAACAAGTCATTAACGAAGCAGCGACGTTCTTTACCGAGCAATTTCTCGCCGAGCTGCCAGCCGAACCGCTCGCTCGGGTGGCGGAACGACGCATCCTTCACCGCGTCGCAGGAGTCGCTCAATGGCGACCGTGCCTGTAACGTCACGACCAGTACTCCTAAACCTAAGGTAGCTGCAACAATTAATATGCTGAAGTTCTTAATATTTAATTGAGGATAATTACCTCAACTGTTAGGAAGTAGGTATCTCAAGTCTTCTACAACACAATATGTACTACGTATGGTTATGTGTATATTGTTACTAAATGTATGAAATTGTGTATGTTACTATGAGATTCGAAAGATATACTTTAGCTAATTTCATACACAGGTACATTTTATTATTTTGTAGGATCTTAACACTTTAATTAGTGACCAATTACAGTTAATATTCACTTATGCCGAGTGGTAATGTATAATTACAATGAAAAATTTAATAAGAATCTTTTGAATGAATCTGAACGTTAGTCTACAAGGTTAAAGATGAATAAATATTCATGAAAGTGTAAATAAGGTTATTAGCTGCTTCAGTTTTGACATTTAGGTTCAAATTGCTAATATATTATCTCTATTTATTTAAATAAATTTTTTTATTGCAGAGCACGCAAGAGATCCTAAGTTTGTACCAACAGACAACAGTCGCCGGCAAGCAAGACTCCATAGAAAAATCATCGTGCGCCATCTCTAACATAATTAACAGGCGCGTCTTAATTGTTTTTAACTTTCAGATACATTTTTATGGATAAAAATGTTTCTTGTTGACAGCATGGAGATGTTGGATGTTGTACAGAAGTTATACAAGTTCTTCAAGTAACTCATCGTCATATGGAGACTCAAGACTTTCGATAACAACTTTTCAGATCGATTTCAAACTACCTTAGAGTTAATTCAGGATTGCTTTTAAAATACCGTAGCATTACTACAGCGTGGTTCTTACAAATACCTTACCATTACTTCAGCTTTGCTGCAATTCTGGGATTGGTTTGTTGTTGATGCAGGACTTCATGCAAAATTATTCTTTAATGATCAGCCTAATTTTCATCAACCCCATTTTGAATTGACGCTATAATGACGATAATTATTGCCTAGGTAATCGTTAAATAATATCTATCCAAGTTTTTGTGCTACAGGTATAAGCCGCTGGCCATTACTGACGAGGCGGATGAAAAAGAAGCTCCTGGTGAGTGGAAAGATACCGTACTCAATTGAATACTTTATTAATTTACAATTTAATACTTGATTACATTACATTCCTGAAATTTACTTGCATTGTTTTTGAGTTAATAGTTAGTAAAAAAGGCAAGTCCACGCATTTGATAATATTTGGCTGAAACTTGAAACTTACGCAAATACATAGAACAAAATTTTAGATACTGCTCAACCAATATTATTAACAAAAAATCTTAAATCAGCATCTATGTTGAATGAGTGTTGCTCGTTATTCCTCTTGAAAAGTTTTAATTAGAAATTCCTATACAATTAGTATACAACTAATTGCAATCTATAAAAATTCATAACTAATAATATAACTCGATATTCACTTTACATGTGCAGAGTTAGCGCCCGCGTCCTGCAGCCATGAAGAAGTCGCTGCCAAGCTCCGTAAGCACCGCCAGCAGCAGCCCGCAGCCCCTGGCAGCGGTGGCGTTACCGGACCGCTTAGAGCGTTACATCCTGCTTCTAACGCCACGTCGTCCACTCCTAACCAGGGTTTGTGCTCATATTTAGAGTTGGTATCAGGATTATATATCATTATCCTGTAATTTAGATTGTGTGAAAATGGTATATTGACTGGACAATTGATTTATATAGACGAAGCTGATCTGAAGCGCTAGAAATCTCTCCCTTACTGCTAGAATTGCTTGTAATATACGTAGATCTGTCGGTAGATCATAATAAAAACTAGTCAATTAATTCTGTCACTTGGTTTTCATACGAACCAGCTTATTTGGATTTGCTTATGAACTACAACTAGACTGTATCGTCTTTTTCCAGAAAAGTTCCGTTATGAAACTTAGTTATGATTTCAGATTTTACTTCAAGCTATCGTTTTGGATATAGGTAAATTCGATAAATTGATTGAGATGCCGGACAATAGGTTTTACTTGTTACATCCACTCCCACTTATTTTTATTGTATGGTTATTTTCCTAATCTATAATTTGCACTGGGAATATTTTCATCGTGTAATTCATATAAATAATTAATGTATCGGCTAGTGATATATTATAGAGCTACTCGGAAACATTCATATTAAGATGCCTTGCTGCTAAATTATATGTTGTTGCTGATGACGTATTCTTTGTATTAATGTATCCTGACAAATATTCTGCTATTTTGTAACAGATAACGAAGCTACAGCAGCAGAGTCCGGTGGTAGTGGACAGTCTGGCAACAAAGAAACCAACGCCGAGGACGCTAACATCAAAGCCCTCAAGATGCGTCTGCTGCCGTCGTTCGGTTCCTTCAGTAGTATAGGTGACCTGACAAATTACTAATGCTAGTTTATAGCTTTTTTCTGACAGTTATTGCACATTTCTTGACAGTTAATGCTATTTTCTGTTTTGTTGTCATTTTTCGGAAAGTAATTGCGTTTTTTTTGACATTTATTGTTTCATCAATGACAGTTGCTTTTTTTTTTACAGTTCAGGTATTGATTTTCCAGACTGTTTTTGCTTTTTCCGAGTTTTTTTTTCGACAGTTTTCCATTTTTTAGAAAGTTATTGTCTTTTATCTGACAGTTATTGTTATTAATTCCGTCGTTTATTATTTGTAAATTTTTATGAAAAATTAATTGTTTCACGGATTTTCGAGGGCAGTTATTTTCGTTCCTTGTACGTATCAATTTTTTATTTAGTAAGGACTGCTGACACACCAATGATCGTCGAATTGGTTCAGTCGTAGGTAGCAACAGTATCGAGCTAGCTGCTTATCCTGGCGTATTAACTATTAAAATTTGATGAATCTTTCCCATTGCATAAAAGGAATTTAACCTCTTTTCATCGTGACGAGAAAATTTTGCAACTTGTTTTCTTTTCCTTTTGGTCCATTTTTTCGAAAATGGATACAAATATTTCCATGGTTTTATTCTCATTCATATCTAGACTGGGCAACATTTGTTGGTTATGGGTCCCGGAAACGAATAAAATTATGTTCATTTGTGCGAATATTATCAGTTTGTTAACTGGATATTATTCATTCATTTAGTAATGGCAAAGTCGGTGGGGCTTTCTGAAAAATTCTGGGCTTAATTTTCATGATTTTTTTCAGATTCTGATCGCGTTGGATCCCCAGACGCCATCACGGGCCCCATGTTTGGCAGTACCATGGACTCACCCATGCAGGGGTGAGATAATTAAGCTTAAAGTCTATTTTATTCCTTAACTAATCCATCACCTAGTGAGAAAAATAAATCAGTGAAACTATCATTAAAAATAAAACTAACCATCAAAAAAGACTGAAATTACATTAAAACTAAAACTAATCATCAACAAAACTGAAGTTTCACTAAAACTAACCATCAAACAAGACTGAAATTACATTACTGAAACTAACCATCAAACAAGGCTGAAATTACATTAAAACTGAAACTAACCTTCAAACTAGGCTGAAATTACATTAAAACTAAAACTAACTATCAAATAAGACTGAATTACATGAAAACTACAACTAACCATCAAACAAGAACGATCGACCACCACATTCAGGCTTTCCCCTCTGTTCGACCACTTGGTGCACTCACTAAATTATCAATAAAATTATATATTACATTTATTGGAATTATTTTCCTTTAGCAGATTCGTTCCTTTGAGATGATCACGTGTTTTTTACCTTTTCTGATTCGCAGTTTCTATTTTTGCCATCACTTGTATTTTCTGGCAATTCATTGAATTTATGATGAATGTGCAGAAGCGCATGCGGGGATGAATGCCGGACCAGCACTCCTGCTAGCCGCCTCAGCGCTGCTGCTCCCAACATGTCCGCTACTCCCATCGCAGCTCCACCAGCTCTAGGTGCTCCTGTAACATATTTAATTTTCAATGTCCATTCTATCCCTGTTTCCTTTAATTGTTGTTGAAAATTTTCAATTATAAATGAGCGAACCAGAATTTGGTTTCGATGGCATTAAAAATGATCAGGGTTCAATTTAAAAGAAGGTTATCATCGATACGTATCCATTCACTACGACTGTTGTTACTGCATTGCAAGTACAACTTAAAATAGCCTAACCAGCGTAAGCTAGAAGCATGTAAAGAGAAGCATTTAAATATGTTCTGCCTTGCTTAAAAAATAATTCTATATCGTCACATGCACTTGTCTAGCAATATTTTTTTCTAAATGAAGTATTTTTCCAATCAAATATTTTTTTACTGAATCCAGAGTGTTGTGTTCACTTTGTAATCTACTTTTTAGGAGCTTCGGTGAACTTCTCAAGCACATCTGTTGCCCAGAAAGAGGGACAACGTTTCCCGCTCTCAAGGCCTCTAGCTTCCGTCTTCCAGCTCCAAAAACTGAATAAGAAGGCGGGCGGCAATCTTGATAAAATTGATGGTCAAAACTCCGGTCCTGTTCTGCCTGCTCTAGCGGAAGTCGACGTGATGCCGACTTCGCTTCCGCAGAACTTAACTCACAACTTGGCTCATCAGTTACTGGATACAACAACTGATTTTGTTGAATCTACCAAGCCAATTCATGATGTGACTCATGAGCATTCACCCCTCAAGACATCAAAAAATTTGCCAGAGGTTGGAACACCTGCTGTATGTGATGTTGAGGCCAAGAATCGCGTATTATGTGACAATGCTAATCTTCGCTCGTGGGCTGCGTGTGCGACTCCAGCGGATAAATCAACTGACCATTCAGGCTGCTGGTCTTCGTCTGGACAATCTTCTCTACTGCGGAGCTGTGACATGAACGGCACTGCATCACCCCGACGCTCTGGGATGCCGCAGACTGCGACGCCTTCACGCATTCCGTCTCCGGTTACAGGGCGAGATTCTTTGTCATCTCGTTTGTCCAACGTATTTTCATCTTCTTCGTCCCACAATGACGTATTTGATCTAACGCAGACTCGGGTAAAAGATCAATCCAAGGAAGTCATTGTGACAAACCTGGAGGCAACCGAGATCAAATTGGATGTTTTGAGCGCTGAAGGTCTTGAGTCTGTCAGTGGAAAAGGTGGCTCCTCTAGCTCCACTGTAGCTCCTCAGAATTTGTCTTATGTCAAGCCTAGTCCAGAAGCTAGGAATGTTCCAAAAAGCTTGGTGACTAAGAACAATAACGGTAAGACGGCTCCGGCCGGTACACTACCTCGCAAGGTAGTTCCTGCAAAGTCTGTAACCACAACTCTGACAGTTCCAGAATCTTCCGCTTCTTCATCGACTGGAAGAGGGAAGCCTCTGTTAGGTCGTGAACTACCTGTGAAAGGCGGGGTAGGCGTTATTCGAAATTCAACCAGAGCTTCAAGTGTCATCGCCCCAAGATCTGCCATGACGCGGAAATCTGAAGGTTCTACGTTAGCCAAAGCTGCCAGTGTCGCGGAACTTTCAGCGGCTCCTGGCAACAGAGCGATCTCGGCTACGGGAGCTATCCGTAGACAAGTTTTTCATGCTAAGCAAACGGCAGACAAAGTTTTGATAGAATCAGTGCCACCATTGAGTGATGCTAGCAAGAAAAACTTGATTGGTTGTCAAGCAAATCAACTTTCACAAAATCCCGGAAAGCTTACCTCTTCCAGGATCTCAAACACTAAGATAGCTTCTACTCGACAGTCGCTCCTACCACAGTCACAGTTGCGTCAACCCACTGCTCCGATGAGGAAATCTATGCTGCCTCACGCCAGTTCCACGTCGGCTCTTCACGCCAGTTCGTCGGCTCTCGCATCAAGTCAAGCTAAACGTTCACCTTCAGTAAGAAGCCCAGGCTGTCCTCCCAGCCTTGCTGATGCGGGTAAGAGACCAAGCGTAGCTGGGCTACGAGCTCCTCGACGTAATATTGCCAGCCAAGTCCGTAGCCCAAAACTCGATTCTGTAAATGACAAGGAAAACCGACCTCCAAGCGCGATGTCTGAGCACATGACTGATGGAAAAACAGTGGTTGTTGCATCTCAGGATGCGCCTTCTTCAGTGCCTCGATCAAATTCTGAAATTGGCCCCGAAGTCAACCTTCAAGGAAACGTAAAAGCCGTACAGAAAAGTGGTGGCAAATTTGAGGTTGGTGTGACTGTGGATGGCAAGATGGCTGCACCGCAGCCAATTCTACCTGCAGCCGCTGGTAGAGGCATACCAAGGCCTAGTGGTTTACCTCTACCATCCAGACTTCGTTTGCCCTCAGTCATTAAAAAGTAAAATATACTCCTATCTACTTCTGAATTCGATTCAGATTAATATTGCCTTCATCAGGCAAGTGATAACTCTTTTTAATTTCTGTTTACATTCTTTGCTAGTGCTGAGCCATTGACCAATCGAGTCTTATTGAATTATTTTGTTCCATATTGTTTGCCCATCTTCGTATATTTCGTTTTATCTCGTCCGTTTCTCATGGTTTTCAACGACATTGTCCCAGAATCTCCGCTGAGCTGGTGTAAACGTCGCCTCTAATGAAGCAAGGCTTGATTTTCCTAAATTTTATTTTCACATTGATTTCGTTCAGGCGTTTTTAATTGTTGCGAGATGGATGGTGGTTATTGCTTTTAGTTATATTCGTGCAAAAATCGCATTAATATTTCTCACCCACTAGGTATATGTAGGGATGTATTTCAGGTTTTCCAGGCTTGTTGTACTGTATTCGCGACTTGGTGATAGCATAACCATCGCAAGCTTGAAGCACTTGAAGTGCTGAATCTAACTATGCTATGTCGTGGTAAAAATATTTAAACTCTTCAATGCACTTGATTTTAACTTTCTTGTCTTACTGTTACTCTATACTTTAACATAGATGGCATAGACCAATACATAGATTGGGAACAGTTAGTTATTGTTTGTTGTGGAATAGTTTTTAGTTCATCCACCCGCCTATAGCTGCTGTTGTCAGCGGGACTGGAGTTAAGATAACTCTATGTAAATTAGATCCTCGTTTCTTTATATGCGATAAATAAAATGAATTTACTTGCTAGGCGCAGTATTTCCCTTCTTCAGATAAAATTGGCAAGACGGTTGACTCTATTTTACTCATACATTTCCATTTTCATTTGGTAAACAAAATGGAATGCCTTCTTTCAATTGTTGCCTCAAATCACCGATGGAAAATTTTATGCTTGCTTGCAATAAACGAGCGTTGTTTTACTTAGTTACATATTAACCATTTACCCTCACTTCTGTAATGACCTAATAAAGAAATAAATTACTTCCTTTGTTTTTGCCTGCTTTCAATGACCAATGAATTTTTCGTAATGAAGTTTTTTTTACAGAAGTTTTTAAATCTGGATTATTTTCGTCATGTTATAGATAAAATGTATACAAATCACCGACCCAAAAATTTTTGAAGTCAGCCCAGTCGAAACAAATCGGTTAACTTTAGTGTTTCCATTTGTTCTGTTATTTTCTTGCTTCACGTATAAAAAATCGTTTAAGAACCTTAAGCAAATAGAAACAAAAATAATGTTCGGACAAAACCGTAAATGATTTCAGGATAAAATCAATAGGGTAAATCAGCTTAAAATTAATCGCTTCTTCTTTCATTGTTTATTCACATTACTGTAAAGTCATATTAAATGTAACTTATACTTCATACGGGGACATTTGTTTGTTACATTTGAATGAACATACAAAAGCACACAGTCCTGCTTGGCAGACAGAGTAGCTCAAGAAAATGTAATACACTTAATAACGATTACATTCACACTATTAAAATAACTCGTGTTATTCCTTAAATTATTATGATTTTATTAATGTTTTTTCATCGACGTATACATTGTAAATTAGTTGATAATATTACATAATTAAAAGGATAAATTACTACCCTAAAGCTTGGGATTCTTAACTCTCGTGCACCAACAAAGAAGCGTAGAATTGCTAGGTATCTTATTTTGTATAACCGCTCGGTTTTGTGCACTTTTACATGAAAATGAGCTTCATTTTGCAGTAAAAAAGTATACGTTAAAGCTTTAATTTGCTTCACGGTATTATAAATAATATTTTGAATAACTTTCTGAATCGCAAAATTCATACTCGAGCATTTTTTTATGTTTAGCATTTAGCAATGTTAATAAAAACATTAAATATAATAATCTACATTAAAGGTTAGAGTTCATCAACTAAGAACATTTGTAATAATTTTAAATAGAATACCTGACATTTATACTAAATTATTCGTTCAGTAATGTTATTTCATGGTTGAATTGTTATATAAGTATAAAACGTTGAAAAAACGTCGATCAAACGTTGTGGCGGAGTTTGTGAAGAATCGACACTTACATTAAATTATATAATTGCTTTTTAATTAGCTAGCTAGCTAAATAACAATACTAACAATTAGCTACATTGATAACGTAGCGGAGGTCATAACGACTTGACCTTTATATTTCTGTCAGCTCAATATTTCTGTCAGCTTATTAACAAATCAGCTAATTGGTAATTAACGCAGCGGAGGTCATTACGACTTGACCTCCGTCCATAAGCTCCTCATACCGACCCATCTCCCTCCTGTGCTCGTCTGTAAAGGTGTTGGAGCGTCTGCTCCTCCCCTCCCTCAATACTGCACTTCAACTGGTGGACTCGCAGCACGGTTCCAAGACGTTTTGGAGTTACGTCAAGGCGAAAACCAAGTCAAGAAATGGCGTGGCGGACTTGATGAAAGAAGACGGATCAAGAACCGATTCAGATCAGGAGAAGGCTGATCTTTTGGGTGAATTTTTCAAGAGCGTTTTTACCCAAGAAGATGGCAGGGCAATTCCTGAAACAGCGGACTATGAGCTAGATGATGAGTTATTGGACTTAGACATCACTGAGGATTCTGTTTGCAGGTTGTTGAGCAGACTACACGCAGGAAAGGCCCCGGGCCCTGATGGTTTTCCCTCACTCATCTTGGCGGCGGCGGCAAGAGAACTAGCAGAACCTGTTTCACTTTTGTTTGCACGTTCACTGGCAGACGGAAAAATACCTAAAGAATGGAAGCAAGCAACAGTTACACCGGTCTTTAAGAAGGGCAGCAGAGCATTGGCTAGCAACTATAGACCTGTCAGACTCACTTGTATCATGTGTAAAGTGATGGAACAGTTGGTGAGGTCACAAATATTGCAACACCTGTTGCGTAATAACCTGATTAGCGAAAGTCAGCATGGTTTTGTCCCAGGTCACTGAAACTACCTTGTCTGGAACACCGACGCTTGCGCGGCGACATGATCGAGGTTTACAAATACCTGCACGGGTACTACAGCGTTCAGCACCCAACGTTCATTAAGGCCACTACAACGCGACTCAGGGGTCACTCCATGAAGCTGTATAAGAGCAAATATCGGCTTAACGTGAGAGGAAACTTCATTTCGCACAGGATTATCGACTCGTGGAACGACCTGCCCGATGGTGTGGTCTCGGCTACATCTGCGAACTCTTTTAAAAACTTACTTGACCATCACTGGAGGGACCTGCCATCACTATATAAGCCAGAATGCCAGAATTAGGGTCCTGTATTGAATTGGGTTGGCTTCGACTTTGGAGAGATGAACAGGCCTTGCTAGAGGCCTCAACCATCCGACGAGTTCAAGTTCAAGTTCAAGTTCAAGTTTCCGCTCCCTTCACTCCACAACATCTGCCCTGCTTCCACTAACCCAGGCCATAGCTACAGGCTTCAAACAGCCTCGCCCACCAACCAGGACAATAGCAATGGCAATATACTTCAGCAAGGCTTTTGACACCATGCCTCATGCTCAGCTCATCTCTCACATCACCATCACTCCCCTCCACGCCAATATCACCCGCTGGCTGATCTGCTACATCAGAGGCCAGTCAGCCAGGTGCTCCTACAACAGCTGCATCTCTTCTCCACGGCCGGTCCTCGCTGGAGTCCCACAGGGATCCGTCATCTCGCCCGCCCTCTTCAACTCCCATGTCTCAGACTTCCCCCAGTCCGCCCCCTTAATCACCTCCTATGCGGACGATTTCACAGCCGCTGCGGGGGCCGTGCAGATCGCCGACGCGTCTGCAGTCCTCTCCTCACACTCCTCCGATGTGGCGGCATGGGCTCGTCGGAAGGGGTTATCGGTGTCTATCCCCAAATCCCACACCACCCTCTTCACCTCTGACACCCATCAATCACAAATAGACCCTCATGTCAGATGGGAGGGGTCCAACCTCCCACTTTGTCGAACCCCGAAGATCCTCGGGGTCACTCTTGACCGCCACTTCACCTTCTAGCCTCATATCGCTGTGATATGACAGAGAGTCCGCCCGCGCCTCAACATCCTCAAATCCCTTGCCGGAAGCAGCTGGGGGCAGTAGAAGGAAACCCTCTTGGTGACTTTCAAGGCTCTTATTAAGTCCCTCTTCACCTACGCTGCCCCAGCGTGGTTCCCTAACGCCTCTCCCTCGGCAATCTCCAAGCTGCAAACTATTCAAAACTCTGCCCTCCGCATAGCCACGGGATCTCTTAAAATGGCCTCCGCTTCTCACCTGCACAGTGAAGCTGAGGTCTTAGCCGTGGCCGAACACATCTCTCTGCTCTGCTCACAGTACCTTGCCAGTGCCCTTCGACCACACCATCCCAGCTACCCTATCGTCACCCAGACATCAGGGCCTCGGTCCATGAAGCACACGCTCCAGTCCCGCTTCCTCCCTTCAGTCTCTCACCTGCTGGAGGAGGGATCCCTCCCGCCCCGACACCTACTCCGCTGCCCTCAGGACCCTGCACAGCTCCGCTGTCTCATCCTACCTGTCCTCAGCAGCTCCCAACAAGGTGTTGCTGACCCCTGCCCCCACTGTCTCATCCAGCAAGCTATCCCTCCCCAGGGCGACCAGAAGCGCCCTTTCCCAGCTCCGCTCTGGCTACTCATCGCGGCTCAATTCGTACCTCGCCCGCATTGGTGCAGCCAACAGCCCACTCTGCCCTGAGTGCGGCACTATGGACCACACCACTCATCACCTCTTCAGCTGCCCCTCGCATCCCACCTCGCTGACCCCTCTGGACCTCTGGTCTAACCCTGGGCCGACTGCGGCTTTCCTCTCGTCGCTCCCATCCTTCGCCGACATCCTTGGAGCGGAACCTCCCCTCCCCCCTCCTCCCCCGGAGCCGCCGCCTTTTCGGGGGCGCCGCCGAGCAGCGGTCCCGGGCAACTAACAACAACAACTTGACCTTTATACACAACAATCAATATTTCTGTTAGCTTATTAATTAATCACCTAATTGGTAAATAACGCAGCGGAGGTCATTTCGACTTGACCTTTATAAACAATAATCAATATTTTTTTAGCTTATTAACTAATGAGCTAATTGGTAATTAACGCAGCGGACGTCAGAGAGCCACGTCTTTGTACTGGCCGAGCTCGTCGCTGTTGCCCCCCAGCGACATCTGACTGCCCCGCCCCCGGGGGGCGAGGCTCCCCCGTCCTCGGGGGGCGAGGATGAAGCCCTGACGTGGCCCCCGCACCCCCACGCCCCGCAGGCTCAGGGTGTCGCAGTCTTCCTCTCTCCTCAACCTGATCAACGACAATTAAAATATTATTATTCGTAATAATTATATATTGAAACTATATTAATTGTTATTGAGTATTGAATATCGTAGTTGAGTCAGGTTGTACCAGTCCATCTCTCTCCTGAATCTGATATATTTAGTTATATTATTATACCTAAAATTTATGTATTAAAGATGTGCTGTTTATTAATACTCATACTTTCTTTATACTTATATACTTTCTTTATTTCTAATATTTTATTTCATTTTTATCAAATCAAAGTTTCAAGAACACGAACAAACCCACAAAGTTTCATACATATTTAGAAGATGATGTAGTTAACTATTATGTATAATCATTGTTTATCCTCTGAGTGAGCATAAGTGAACTTGGTGCTGACACAGCAGTCAGCATAGGTAATTAGGGCACTCGCATTTAAATTAACTTAATTAAATTAAAACTATTCACTTAATCCATACAGTTGACAAAGCGTTGATGTGCGTTCAATGACTCACAAAAAAACGGTTGGACCAACGTTTCAGTGGCCCGTTAAATTCAACCATGACCAGTCTGTTTCCATACATTAACTTGAAAAAACGATGATATTGTTTTATTTCACGGTGCGGCCGTCCAGAAAAAACATCGGTCAGACCGTTTTATTTTCCAATCAGTCATTAGACACAGCGATAACTTTCGTTTTTTTTTCGAAGTATGCCGCCATTTGATAACGTTTTATAAAAGGGTTAACATCGAGATTAAATTTAATTAAAAATTTAAGAAATAAATGTTGAAAAACTTAAAAATTAAAAAAAAATCGAATTAAAAATGAATTAAAATAAATTGAATTAAATAGTATGTCTCACCCCCTGCGGTCTAGGGACTGCGTGGCGTAGTCCTGGGGCAGGTACTGCACCATCTGCTGCAGGTAGGCTGCCGTGTGCAAGCCACCTGCCGACACCAGCTGTCGTTGGTGTTGCAGGCAACCGCCTCGCAGGTAGTACGAACCTGCAAACAAAACAAGTCACGCGTCGAAATTGACGATTATCGACAAGCTATGATCACTTTACTGTAATTCATTCATTAATTCGTTTCATTTTAACAATTAATAAATAATTAGGAAAAATACGAAAATTGATAATTAGAAAAAAATACGAGAATTGATAATTAGGAAAAATACGAGAATTGATAATTGATAATTAAAAAAAATTCGTGAATTGATAATTAGGAAAAATATGAGAATTGATTATTAGAAAAAATACGATAATTGATTATTAGAAAAAATACGATAATTGATTATTAGAAAAAATCGAGAATTGATAATTGGAAAAAATACGATAATTGATTATTAGAAAAAATACGAGAATTGATTATTAGAAAAAATACAAGAATTAATAATTAGAATAAATACAATAATTGATAAAAAATACGATAATTGATTATTAGAAAAAACACGCGGATAGATGAACGCCACAGATAAAACAAGACATTAACGATCCCCAGAAACTTACTGGACACGTCCTACTGGGTTCAGTAAATAATTCAATGTTTTCTTATAAAATAATTAATCTTAATCGTGGTGTACTCGGGGGAAATAATTTGTTACTGGGTCCCCCAGCTCATACGGGGCGGTAATATCAAAATTAATTACGAGTTCGTAACTCCGTCAGACAATCACTGCCGACTTTTCAAGCTAAACCCACCAATCATGGACGAGAAATCGGCCGCATCGCGTCCTTAGGCCGCTACGTGTACCTAGGCCCCTACATGTACTTAGGCCGCTACGTGTGCTTAGGCCGCTACGTGTACCTAGGCCCCTTCATGTACTTAGGCCGCTACGTGTACCTAGGCCCCTACATGCACTTAAGACCGCTTCATGTACATAGGCCTCTACATGTACTTAGGCCGTTACATGTACTTAGACCGCTTCATGTACATAGGCCTCTATATGTACTTAGGCCGCTACATGTCCTTAGGCCACTACGGTACATGTACTTAGACCGCTGTGCGTACTTAGGTGTACTAAACAGCGCTTGACTCCTCGTATGTAATATGACCCAAGAGTTCTAAGTAGTTATTAGCATGCTGTTGACTCCTCGTCAGTAATTTGACTCAACAATTATATTATAAGAAGTTATTAGCATGCTGTTGACTCCTCGTATCATGCAGCTGAGCATGTACCGGTATGGCCGGCGACATTAGTGAGGGAGGTGGCGGAGGCGTAGAGCGCTGCGTTGAACTGAGCAGGCAGACGCTGGCTGCCGTAGACGGGGTCGTAGCGAAGAGACAAGTGCGAGGAACATCTGCCGGGTGGGCGGGTGAAAAGTATAGTTATATACAATATTTGTTGTACATGAAATGCGTCAAATGCAGCAAATAAAATGAATCCATCATATATAATACAGCAACATCTGGACATCCGGCAACAAATATTTCTATCTTTAATTATGTTTTACCATTATTAGTATTAGTTTATAATTGATTCATTAATTTTATTATTTTATTATTAATATAATATGATTATGATTACCATGTATATTTTTCGCTGCAGTGATGTCTTTTAATTCCAACACGCATTGCTTTTGAACTTAATAAGTAAATTAATTTTCACTTCCAATTCCATCAAAGCAAACCCCAAATCAGAAAAATTAATGAATCTTTCTCCAAATAATGACACAATTTCTTACGCACAGCAGGGGCAGAGAGCGGAAGTAGTACTTATGACTTACTTTGCCAGTCCAAAGTGGGTCAGGATGACGCACAAAAGGGCAAAAAGTGCATCGCTAATTGGACAAAATTCCACTCGTTCTCTGGGTGTAAACACCGGTATCTCTCTTTTGTATTTAAATATTCATCTACACGCACTCCCTTGAAATTATCTGGCATTATTTCATAGTTCGAAATAATGATTCTGCATTTTCGCCTTTCTCATGGAAAAACAAAGATTTAAATTCGAATCAATAGGTAACAATGTAGAAGAATGAATAGTTATCAGGTATTTTGGAAATAAAAGTTATATTAAATGTGTGGTGGAATGATGTGATATGAAATAATAATAATAATACATAATAATGTATGAAATAATAATAACAATAATAGTCAATGTTAAAAATTATGCATTGTTTGATATGTCACCGCTTCAAGAGATCGCAAAATTTTCACGGTAAGCTAGGTTTCGAAACTGCAACTCACTTCTCCTACCACAACCACCCGGGATCATAAGCCACACACTACCATGACATACCTGGACAAAGCCCGTGGCTCCATGCGGAGACCGTTCCCTTTACTAGGCACTAGTTCCTTGGACGCAGCGTATCCATTATTCAGGTACCCGTTGTCGAAACGACCATCGTAACCGTTTGCAGCGTAACCGTTACTTCCATAGCCGCCTAGTGAACGGGTGTCATAACCGTCGATGTCATAGCCGTTATTATAGCCGGAGTATGGCGGTTGAGAGTACAGGCTGGCCGGGTATGCGGGTGGCAGGCCGCTGTAGTAGCTGCCGTTGTACAGAGACTCGTCCTCGAGCGCGTCTTTGGGCGGCGACTGTACGAGATAATAATTGATTCTTGTTACTAGTGGCTAGTGGTTGTTACTAGTGGCTAGTGGTTGTTACTAGTGGCTAGTGGTTGTTACTAGTGGCTAGTGGTAGTTACTAGTTGAATAACCTGTCATAACTAGTTTATTGTAGCTCCTCGAATAACATCTTAGCTCACACAATTTTTTGCCAAAGTACAGATTAGCAATAATCGAAAAAATTTGTATAAAGATGGGAACTCTCATTACCAGGCCTTTAAGTAGGAATAGCATTGTTGCAGGTAAATGCATTAGTTAACAAAAAGCTAAAGCTATTACATTTGTATTTGTATTGATAGTCTCCAACAATGCGTGATAATAGATATTTAATAACTTCATTGAAACCTGAAAATACTGATAATGAATTAGTACTTCGATGAGTTCTTAGTAAACAATGGCGAAGAAGTAAGATATACCAGCTGGTGATAATGAAGTAAGATATACCAGCTGGAGATAATGAAGTAAGATATACCAGCTGGAGATAATGAAGTAAGATATACCAGCTGGAGATAATGAAGTAAGATATACCTGAAGTAAGATATACCAGCTGGTGATGAGGTAGCTGGTGTAGCTGGTGTGTCTTGCGGCTGCGACGCCAGCTGGTGTAGAGGCTGTGCACGCACAGGATGCACACCACCTGTCAATGGGTGCCAGCTGTTCTAAATATCTTTTAACAATCATGTATTCACATATAGTCAATAATAATTAAAATTAAACACGAATTATTTTTTAATTTCAATTGAGTGTTAGCTTGCGAAGTTTGTTACATGTTAAACATTAAAAATATATTATCCAAAAAACGTTCATATATTCTCATAGAATAAATAACAATGCAATAAATTAAAGAAGAATTATTTTCTTTTCTAATAATCTAATCTACAATGTTTAAAAAAATTGCGAGATTTTACTTCCTTAAAATGATAAATATATCCATTTAATATCTCAGAGGTGGAAATAAAGCTCAATCACTAAGATTGGTTATAACAGCAACAGCTTCTAACACGTACATGTAAACTGTACATGTTAACACCTCCTCTTTTTCAGTAATTTTTTTTTCTATTTTATTTTTATTCATGACGTGCAGAAATGAGCATAAAAAACCTCATGCAAAACTTCGCATTCATTCACATATAAAAAAAATAAAAAATTACCAACACGGCACTAGACTCCACGTCGTAAAAGACTGGATAATAAATTATAGATACAGACTTTTTCATAAAAAAGATAACTGTAAAAAAGATAAAAAAAAATAATTATATAAATTAACAGATTTTCTGCACAACATTCTTATGCGTTTTATGATTCAAAAAGTTTGATTACTTGATGAATTTACCCGAACTTGAGCAGAAACTTGACTCCAGTCCCGATAACTTGTCTCTCAATCAAGGATTTTAACTCCATCCCATTTCCTCATTTAAATAAGCAATTATGTAATAAAATTTCATTGAAATCAAAATTTTTGAAACAGTTAATTTTTAATGAATGGTGCAGAGTTTGGGATTGGATATAATTTGCCGGGAGACAAGCGACTTTTTATACTGATATAATAAACCGACATGTGGAACAGCCTCCCCGATGACATCGTTGGCGCTCCAAGTATGAACGCGTTCAAGAACAGACTAGATAAAGCTATGGAAAAATATATGTTCAGATTTGAAATGCCTAGCTCCTTATCGAACCCGGTGGAAGTCTAGTAGCTACTTCAAACTATCGCCAGTCATGAAAAGATCCGATCAAATGACACGAGTTTAGATCTATGAACAAGGCACGAAAAGGAAAAGAATCGGCGACAGGCCACATCAGGCCTACACTTCTGCGACGACATCACTATGTTATGTTTATGTTAATATACCGTGTCAATGACCTAGAAACACTTGTGATACTGATGAAATAAACTGAGCTCGCTGGCATAAAACACTGTTCATACTTTTGGTGAAGAAGATGCACAAAGCAAAGTTTGTGTAAAATCTCCATAAACTATTAGCACATAATTATTATTAATCAATAAGTAATTTATCACAAAATATTAAGAATAAGTGCTGACGTTGAGAGCGGCGCGCACGGTGTACAGGGCGAGGTCCAGCATGCCGGACGACGTCGCCACTGTCTGGACAATGAGAAAATCGGTAATAAATGTAATTAGTAATTAACATGATCAGTAATTAATGTATTCAGTAATAAATGTAATCTGTAATAAACATGATCAGTAATTAATGTATTCAGTAATAAATTTAATCTGTAATGAATATGATCAGTAATTAATGTATTCAGTAATAAACATAATCGGTAATAAACTTAATCTGTAATGAATATGATCAGTAATTAATGTAATCTGTAATGAATATGATCAGTAATTAATGTATTCAGAAATAAACATAATCAATAATGAATGTAATCAGGAATAAATATAATCAGTAATGAATGTATGCAATAATATTTCAGTAATGAGTGTATGATTGAAATTATATTATAGTGTTCAAGGTCCTAGTTCATTATTTAAGGATGTGTATCATTGTTCGCTAATTCCTTATTTAGGAAAGCATGTAATGATTTGAATATCGTTATATAAATTAAAGTAATCATTTCTAAACCTTATCAATCAGAGTATAATTAAGATTTAATTAAACCTGAAAGCAATCAAATCTCTCTCAGTATATTTGTTATGAAACATCAGTGGAATTTAAGGTTTTAGGTTAAAATAAATGTAATAACCACAATACAATATAGTAACCACTCAAAGAACCAAAGATATTAATCGAATCTCGTACAAAAGGCTAGCCTAATGTAAATGAACTAACTGAAGTAAATTCCTATAATTGGCTATATATTCTGTGAGCATTTGAAATAAATGATAAGAATTGACCTGTTTATAGTTGTGTCTATCGTATAAGTGCATAATATATCGATACCATGAACTATTGTGATATATAAGATTGATACGCCGATAAAAATTAATGAATATGCACCAATACTAATGCTGTAAGCGCGTAAAATGCAGAGGTATCTAATTATCAATTATGTTAATCTTCGATATATTTAAATATAATGAAGCTGCTATACTCACCCCCATGGAGGAGTAGATGCGACACATGCAAGTATAGTTATATATCACCACGGTATATCACTCACACTGTGGTATAGGTTGACGAATAGCACCAGCCCCATCTCAGAGGCACATGCTATACATGTATATCACCATGGTATATCACCACGGTATATCACCCACCCTGTGGTAGAGGTTGACGAATAGCACCAGCCCCATCTCAGAGACTAATGCTATACATGTATATCACCATGGTATATCACCACGGTATATCACCACGGTATATCACCCACCCTGTGGTAAAGGTTGACGAATAGCACCAGCCCCATCTCAGAGACAAATGCTATACATGTATATCACCACGGTATATCACCACGGTATATCGCCACGGTATATCACCCACCCTGTGGTAGAGGTTGACGAATAGCACCAGCCCCATCTCAGGGAAGAATACAAGGACCATGAGCAGCACCCAGCACAGCACCACTCGCGCCATCCTCTGCAACACGACGCTCCGGGTGTGAACGCCTTCAAGAACAGACTAGACGAAGCCATGCAGGAGCATATGTTCAGTCTTAAAATGACTAGTAAATTACGGACCAGCCAATAAGTCCAGCAGCTATCTCAATCAATCGTCATTCGTCAGCTATGGAAAGATCGGGTTCCAAAGGCCGGATCCCTTGTGAATCAAGTCACGAAAAATTCAAAAATCTGCAACAAGCCATGGGCCTATTTCTCCAGTGCCGACACTTCTATTCTATTCTAACACGAAGCTGGTGAGCGACAAACTTGCGGCGCGCACGAACAATTGATGCAATAGACAGGGGCCGTACTGGTAAAAATAGTTGCGAGTTTGTAAACTCCATCACTTGATAAGCTTCGTCCCAGCTCCGTCCATTTCAGGCCAAACCCACCAATCATAGACGAGAAATTTGCCGCTATGTGACCTTGGGCCGCTACGTGCGCTTAGGCCGTATACGTGGGTTTATACCGCTTACGCGCGTTTAGACCGTATACGTGCACTGAATTTGCTAAGTCTCCTTAGGCCGCTTCGTGTATTTGAATCACTATGAATTTTAATAGTACAGCCCCATGCAGTGCAGTACGTCAAACGAGAATAATGCTAATACTTCTAGTTTGGGGAGTTGTCCATGGCATACAAGCATTGGAAGTGATGGGTTTACTTCTCTATTCGATAGTTAACGAATTCCAGTGATGAATTTACACACGGATGTTACACTTTGGGATCTGAAATCATATAATGAAGTCGTTCAACTTATTTCAGCTTCCAGATGAAGTTTAGGCACGCTAGTTAAAATCGGTCAAATTAATGACGAGAAATTTCAGATTGAGATGAGATAGAATGGTAAAATTGCTTGAAATATTAGCTTAAGTGACCAAATTACGAACAAACGATTAGTCTGATCATTAGGCTCGGGTGGTTGAATGTTTCAGATTAGCATGATAATATCTCGGTGGCAATTATGGTGCATCACAAGATGATACTACATGCATGTGAGCTAAAGAAAAACATTGTCAGTCAATTACATAATAATGCTGATTAAACACGTTTAACAACCAGTAATAATAATCTAAAATAGTACTTTAGATGCATTACACAACATAAATGCATAAACACACACATATTATGCCATGTATGCCACAACCATATATTATGCACACATATACAAAAGATATTATGTATAAATGCATAATAAAAGCATTACAGAGATATTCTAGTGATATATAGGAGGTGTCACAGACCTTGTAGAGGCCGTAGAGCATGACGAAGGAGGCCACCACCAGCACCAAGTGTCCTGCGCACAACACGTAGCCTGGCACACGTCCGCTGCTGTTGGTGTGCTCGCTGCGGTACACTGACACACACACTTTGTATAGGATACTTGGCGAGGGTGTCATACGGGTACACGTTGAACATAGGTTACTTATACTGAACATATGTGCACTTACCGGACAGTTGCTAACACTGAACATATGTTACTCGATCATCACTGAACAATATATGTGTACTCACCGGACAGTTACACACACTGCAGAACATAGGTTACTAATAGGTATTGAACATAGGTTACTCATACTAAACATGCATGGTTACATGAAACATGAAAATATATTCGATAATCACATTTTTAATCATATGAACAATGGAATTTTGAAAATAACCTAAAAGGCACCGTGTGTATGCACGAGTTTGGTTATTACATGACACGCTATTTGTAAGACCACGCGTGACAAAGCGTGACATGATTGCAGCACTGCGCATGTATAACGCGTGTGATACGCTGCGTGTCACACGAGGACAGTGCGCATGCGTAACAAGCGCATGAAATTTTACAGGGGGCCTTGAGTAAACTAAAACAGGCGGGCTGATAACGTATAAAATATCGAATTTTATACGAATTTAGCAATAACTTTAGCCCTGATAATGAACTTATGGTTAAAATATAAGTATCCAAATTTTAATACGTAGTTTACACTACCTGATGAGGTTGTATAATAATGTATATATGGCCCTGATTATAAATTCATCGGTGAATTGGAGTAATCTAAATAATTTTGCCGTATGGGATTTTACGCGACATACTTTTAAATAAAAAATTTCTCAGCATTTATGATGAAGACTTAATGTTCAAGATAAGTGGCCTTTATTAACGCAATTTATTGAGAACTCGACAAAATTAATGAAAGGCAACGAAAAATGGGGAAAATTTACATTCATAAAATCTTGCATTTACAAGGAATCATTTAAAGCGTATGTAAAGTTCATTTTACTTATCCTGATAAAATCTCAAGCCAATTCATACCAAATCAATTCCAGAATCTATTCCAGTGAAATAGTAATGAATAATAATATAATACGAATATTTTGTGTGAACTTATAATGAACGATAATTATCCTAAATATGTTATGGTTAACAGTCATTATATGAAAACAAAAATTATCTAATATATGAGAACCGCCTTACTTGATTCATCCAGCAGCCACCACAGCGACAGACTGAACGCCACGCAGTACACCACCTGTAGTGCATTATGTTACAAACTTATTATAGGACATTATTGCACTACTCTATAATAATAAATAATAACATTACCTTATAACATTTAATTATAATATTACTTCATAATATTAAATTAAAACATTACATTACAACATTACACCAGCACCACAACACCACCTGCAGCGACACAGCAGCATCACACCTACACCATGTGCGCCTACACTAACACGGCAACATTAACAAACATTGCATACAACTTTATTTATACAGTTACTCACCGCAAAGGCACAAAGGTATAAGTGTAAAGGTATAGGTATAAAGGTATAGGTATAAAGGTATAGGTATAAAGGTATATGTATAAAGGTATAGGTATAAAGGTACGGTATATGTATAAAGGTATAGGTATAAAGGTATAGGTATAAAGGTATGATATAAAGGTATAGGTATAAAGGTATAGGTATAAAGGTATAAGCATAAATTTGTTAACGTAGAACGGCATAAATGGTCAAAAGAGCCACTCCAGGAGACATTCGTCATCGCTGACCATAAAAGAAGAAGGTTGCTATATTAAGAAATAAGCCTGTAAATAAATAAGTCTATATTAAGCAATAACTTCTCAAGTCTCTTTACCCCAACAAGTCCCGGGACACATAAGTCATGTCCCTCCACCTCGCTTGCGACGCTCCACCCTCAAGCCCAGGTTTGGGAGGCCTGCTAGCGGCACTCAGATAAATTAATGGGTTATACTGTCCTAATAGTGACGTAGCACAGATATGTTATGTATTCGGGCTGGGTGAATATGACCCATACAAGAGGGCAAATAGTCCATCGTTATTTGGACAAAGTCTCACTTATTTCTGTGAGTGAGGACGGCCATAGCTCGATACATGACGGTACAAACAAGCAATATAGAAGTCGACGAGTCATGAGCTTTGACCCATGACTCATCATTCGTAGAATTTAACTTGAAAATGACACCAGGAAATAAAATTATCAATACAATAACTAATTCTTTTGATAATTGAGTAGATATGCAGTCTCACTAAACACATCTCAGAGAAAAGAGTTGGACTTTGTCTAAATATCGACACACTTTTTGCGATTATTCGAGTCATCCGGACTCAGTTTGGCCCGACAAAAACGCGTATCAATGCTACGTCAGCGCACTGCTCAGACTGTGGGAGTAAAAAGTGTCACTATTGGCACAATTATAAATGACCTCTCATTTTTCTAAGTACATTTGAATTAATACAATATAAATAACTTTAGCTACACACCTGCTAATGTTTAACTACTTCTTGTACTGTTGTTACTATTTACTATTATATTCTATTTATTTTTTATGTAATTTTTCCATCAAAATTTCAATATTTAATGCTTCTTGTAACTTAAAAATGAATGTTTCATTCGAAACGTTGTTAATAAACTAAAACTACTTCCTGAAACATGCGATCTACCAACGTCATCTGAAGAATTGTTGAACTCTCTAATAATTTTAATCAACGAATTCTCTGGTCATAAATCGCACGTCTAATAATATCCAATGTATATATATATATCTATATTGAAATATAATGCATAATACGATATATACGGTAATGCGCAACATTATTTGCCGTTCGATACGCCCTGGAGTTGAAGGAAATTCTTTCAATTTCCTGCCTATCCGCGCGCAGTGCGGCACACAAAACCGGTTTAGCAAAGAAGTCAATTCGTGGCGCGGCCGATTAACGTTCCATCAGGAATGCTCGACTGGAAATTATATCCTGGACTTAACCATTGCCCTCGTATTTTATCATTTTTGATATTTCATATATTTTATATTTCTAACCTATGCTACACCATTCATAATTAATAATTTATTTAGCAATTTCTGCTCGTTACAACATTCTAACTTAATGAATGAGGTTGGTCATTATTATTTTCAAGTAAAATATGGTGATGAGTTTCAAAGTTTATTGTACAAAGCTTGAATTCACTCGTTGAAAAAACAATGTGATGATATTCCTTTCACTGATGAGCCACTTATGGTTTCTTCACACAAACTTATGTATAATTCATCAACAAACACATACACGAAAGCCGAGTCTCATTGCAACATTCCCTGTATGTAAATTCATGGTGCAATATTCTGTATAGCTTTACATTCACCATGTACATCGATCTGCATGCGACAGGCACCTCATAAATATGCTCTACGTGATCTATATAAAGTCATGCATTGAATAATAACGATTCTCATGTACATATTGGATGCGAAATGTTATTAATGCGAACATTAATTAATGCATAGCACGCTCTGGCGTTAGCAAAGAACGTTTCAACTAGGCTTTTAAGCTGCAAGCTTTGCGAGTGATGATGAAGACTCTGCGGCACTCCCAGTCTCCCAGAAACACACCTTGTCTACTGCATCAGGCATCTCGACTTTAGGTAGGAATAGCATGAACGACGGTTGATATATAAGCAGTGTGGTCACCAAAACTTGAAAAGGACAAAAATTTAGTCGAGAGTGTTCAAAAACGTGCAACAAGGATAGTTCTGGGATTAAAAGGCACGCCCAATGAGGAAAAATTAATGATTATGAAACTTCCAAGCCTCCGTTATCGATGTCTGCGTGGTGACCTCGTTGAAGTATACAATGCGGTATATACAGGGTATATATTATATACAATATACCCACGGTTTATACAGCGTCCCAGAAGGATTACTAGAATTTGAAACAAAAACCAACACCAGGGGCCACGGCTATATAAACTAAAAAAACTGCGTTGTAACACATCCACGCGACAACATTTCTTCTCGCTTCGAGTCACCGACATGTGGAACAGCCTCCCTGATAGCATCGTTGACGCTCCGAGTATATGAACGCCTTCAAGAACACACTAGACGAAGCTATGCAGGAGCATATGTTCAGTCTTAAAATGCCTAGCAAATTACGGACCAGGCAATAAGTCCACCAGCTATCTCAATCAATCGTCAGTTATGGAAAGATCGCGTTCATAAGGCCAGATTCCTTGTGAATCAAGTCACGAAAAGTACAAGAATCGGCAACAGGCCATGGGCCTATGTCTTCAGTGCCGACACTTTTATTCTAGTCTATTCTATATCCGTAGACAAAGACTATGTCCTTTTTCTGCTTAACGGTAAATCTTTTAACATACTTTAGGTAAGAATAGCATTGGCAACGGTCAATGCATCCATAGATAAAGAGTAAACAATTTCTCTACTAATGGTAACTTTAATGCATCCGTTGAAAAAAGGTTAATTATTTATATGATGACATGGCACGCTTCGTGTCATCAGGAAATAATAAACAACGCGCCCATTGCGCTGTGGTGAAAAAATTTTGTTTCCGAGACGCGCACAAAAAAAAACCTGCTCTGCGTGGCTAACTGGCCACGTCGAATTAAACCTTCACACTTGTTAACCTGCCAAATAGCCATGCTATTCGGACTAACCTGCCGGGTTAAACTGCTCGTCGGATAGCTATATATTCTAATTAACCAGCAGGATTAATCAGCAAAACAAACTTGCATCCCTAAATAAGTTTTCATACACGTTGCGTTCTTGGCAAAAAATAATTCATGGAGAGATCAGTCCATCAAAATGTTGAGTTGTACAAAAATGTGCAGGCTTGATAATATGGCAGCCGAGCTCTTGGCCCACAGAAGTCATTTTCTCACGGAAAATAAACAAAATAAGTAAAAATTAAAATAAAAAATAAATGTTCATGTCCGCACAAAAAAAAAGTTTTAAAAAGCAACCATGAATTAATGTAAAAATCTAACGGGACTTCCGTATCGCACGTCACAAAAGAAAATTCCCGTAAATTTTCCAGCGTGTATAATATCATAAGTGGTAAACAGTGTACCAGCCGAGACCTAAATACAAACACGAGAGGATAATAACATTAAAAGAAAAATAAAGCCTCGTGTTGTGGGGCTAGAAAAAAAGCCCGCATGTTACGAGGTTTAATAAAAGCCTACGGTTGTGGGGATTATATGGAGGCCGGGCTGGTCAAAAAGTGATGAATCATGCGCTACAAAATACCGTGATGCCACAAATACCGTGATGCCACAAATACCGTGACGCCACAAATACCGTGACGCCACAAATACCGTGACGCCACAAATACCGTGACGCCACAAATACCGTGACGCCACAAATACCGTGACGCCACAAATACCGTGACGCCACAAATACCGGTCTCTTATACACATCTAGATGTGTATAAGAGACAGGTATATCACCCACCNATCATGTCCACCATGTATCATGTCCACCATGTATCATGTTTACCATGCATCATGTTTACTATGTATCATGTCCAACATGTATCATGTCCACCATGCATCATGTTTACCATGCATCATGTTTACCATGCATCATGTCCACCATGCATCATGTTTACCATGCATCATGTCCACCATGTATCATGTCCACCATGTATCATGTCCACCATGCATCATGTTTACCATGCATCATGTCCACCATGTATCATGTTTACCATGCATCATGTCCACCATGCATCATGTTTACCATGCATCATGTCCACCATGCATCATGTCCACCATGTATCATGTCTACCATGTATCATGTCCACCATGCATCATATCCACCATGTAAAAGCAAGTATCACACGTATGACATCAACCATGAATCATGTCTATTATGTAGTATCATGTATACCATGTAATATCATGTCTGCTATGTAATATCAGGAAGAGTATCATGAGCATAATACTATGCAGGGTCTCGTATCAAGCAGAAGTTACTGTGTTTAAATCACATATTTGTATGCTTATTATATATAGGCTGTATAAATTGACGTATTTACGTGATACTTTAATATAATCATTCGTTTGTAGCGTCTATGGATAATCAAAATGAGTTGCGCAGGCGATTGTGCTAATGATTGCGATTAGAAAACAATAACGTATAATAATAATAATATAATACATAATACGAATATTAACACCTAATAATGAATAATTCCTAATGATAAAAACAATGAAGCCTATTGATAATAGCATTCCCTAATTTCTTATTAATAAATATTCATTTTTACTTCTCATTTTAAATTTTCAAAAACTTTTACACGAAAATCCTTATATCAACTTAAAATAAAATATCAAGTTCGGGTTAATAATTAAGTTAATAATTAAATTTTTATAATTAATTCAAATTAAATTTATTGCTTAATCTCACCATGATAATTTCAAGTATTGGTTTATATGCGTGATTTTATTACAATAAATCAAATTGCACGCACGACATGTACGTGTATGAGCTATATACAAATGAGTGTATTTTAGAGCAAATCATGAAGGCCATTTGTATACATCATAACTATATTAAACTATTGCAATATAAGATTTAAAAACACTTCCGCCTCTCATTCACGGAAATATTCTCTTGCTTCTCATCAAGCTCGAGTTCGCCGCGTAAACGAGTCACGCGTCCCCTATGACCTCGAGTCAGCGATACCACCGATAACGTGAGCCCGCATCAGGTCACGAGTAATATATATAACTACGGAAAATTACGATCAACCATGAAAAAATTATGATTAACTACGGAAAAAATTACGATTAACCATGAAAACATTATGCTTAGCTACGAAAAAGTTATGACTAAATACCAAAAAATTGCTATTAACCACGGAAAAATTATGCTCAACTACAACATAAAAAAGATTAACTAAGGGGAAATTACGAATAACCATGACAAAATTATGATTAATTACGGAAAAATTATGATTAACTACGGAAAAATTATGATTAACCAGGGAAAATTTCGATCAACCACGGGAAAAATACGATTAACCAAGGAAAAATTATGATTAACTACGGAAAAATTACGATTAACCACGGAAAAATTACGATTAACCACGGAAAAATTAACGGAAAAATTATGATTAACTACGGAAAAATTACGATTAACCACGGAAAAATTACGATTAACCACGGAAAAATTATGATTAACTACGGAAAAATTACGATTAACCACGGAAAAATTACGATTAACCACGGAAAAATTATGATTAAACACGGAAAAAATATGATTAACTACGGTAAAATTACGATTAACCACGAAAAAATTATGATTAAACACGGAAAAAATATGATTAACCACGGGAAAATTACGATTAGCCACGGAAAAATTAAGATTAACCACGGAAAAATTACGATTAACCACGGAAAAATATAATTAACAACAGAGAAATTATGATTAACTACGGAAAAATTACGATTAACAACGGAAAAATTATGATTAACCACGGTAAAATTACGATTAACCATGGAAAATTACGATTAACCACTGAAAATTATGATTAACTACGGGAAAATTACGATTAACCACGGAAAAATTATGATTAAACACGGAAAAAATGATTAACCACGGGAAAATTGCGATTACCCACGGAAAAATTATGATTAAACACGGAAAAAATATGATCTACCACGGAAAAATTACGATTTACAACGGACAAATTACGATTAACAACGGAAAATTTACGATTAACCACGGAAAAATTACGATTGACTACGGAAAAAATATGATCAAACACGGAAAAAATATGATTAACCGCGGAAAAATTATAATTAACTACGAAAAATTACGATTAACTACGGAAAATAACGGTTAATTATCATTGAAAAAGTTGCGATTAATTACGGACAAATTACGCTCAACAACGAAAACTTAAATACATACCTACATTGGGGAGAAAACATTGAGGGATTATCATCGACCATTGAGGTCGATAGAGGAATAAAACTACCCACAAAATAGGTCGATAAAGAAATAATTAATTGAGGTCGATAATTGAGATCGGTAATATTTTGAAATATTATGAAACTACCACGATATTTCTTTTATCATGGTCCAAAATTGCTTACGTAGCATTTAGTTCGTTTCTTCATTAAATGACTTCAGCGTTGAGAGAAATACCCTCATTTCTGCGCTCATTTGAATGTAAAGAATTGTATGGAAATTAACACTCAAAATAATAAAAATTTCGGTTGCATTCAAATTTTTTTGATAAATCAAATGAAAACGCCGTTACAAATCAGCCTCATGACACAGAAAGAAATAAGTGTGATCACTGAGGCTCATCAGCGATTCGCTGACGATGTGACAAACCGTCAGCGAATCGGTATTGAACTTTTCCGATATGACGACACCTAGTCTGCGTCGTACGCATTATCCCTACGACAAATCGTAGGCTAGGCACTCATGTTTACGACAGTTTTAAGGATCATGCAACCTAAAGATTTAACCCTACGACAAATCGTAGGCTAGGGACTCATGTTTACGACAGTTCTATGGATCATACAGCCTAAAGATTTAACCCTACGACAAATTGTAGGCTAGGGACTCATGTTTACGACAGTTCTAAGGATCATACAGCCTAAA